ATGTTTTAAAATTTTGAATTGATTACTATTTCTTTTATTATGCAACTTTTATGTAGGTAATTTTTGGTATCAACTTCCTTCTACGAGTCCTACAAGCAGTTAAAATAAATGACTCTTTGAAAACACCATGTACAATTGATTAGATATCTGACAGGTGAAGTGTTATTAAGAAACCAACAGCAACAGAAATAAAAAAAACTTTGCGCATCAGTATACTGATCACACTACACCCTAAAATATTACAGCTAATGAAATATCAGACCATTTTTTTGGATTGAACCCAAGCAATAACATTGTGGTCTCTTTCAGTGTTTTGAAGCGGAATGTTCCGAGAAAGCAGGGTGACGTAATGTGTAGAGAAACCAAAAGCAACGGAAAGTTATTCAGCTGTTATAACTGTAAATATACTACATGCCATATTTCCTCACTAATTGATCATATGGAAGAACACGAGAATCAGAAGAAAACATCCAGTCCTATTCATGATCCAGATCTTATAGCATCACCTCGTAAATTACATTCTGGAGCAGAAAATAGCATTAAATCGGGCGTATTGTGTACTCACTGTAACTCTACGTTCCAGCGGGGTATAGATTTAGATGATCATATAGTTAAGAAACACCCTGACTATATTGCATCAATTTCACGGAAAATTCATGAATGTGATCATTGTACGTATAAGACCACCATTAAAAAATCAATATCAAAGCATATGTTAAACCATCCTGGGATAGAAAATAGCTATAAGCTTAATCTAAGCGTGTGTATTCATTGTAACGCGGCATTCAAAGATAAGCTGATTTTAGATAATCATATAATTCGGAAACATCCTGATTTTACAGCATCGGTTACGCGTAAGATACATGAATGTGCTCATTGTACATATAAAACCACCTTGAAACAAGATTTTGCTAGACATATCTTAAAACATTCAGGAGAAAAAAGGAACTTTGATGTGAAGGTGTGTATTCACTGTAATGCGACATTCGCAGTTAAGGTAAATTTAGAACATCACATAATTCAGAAACATCCTGATTTCATAGCATCAGTTACACGAAAGATACATGAATGTAAACTTTGTACATATAAAACAACGATTAAAAGTAGCTTTGTTAGACATATGTTAAAACATCCTGCAATAGAAAAGAAATCTATGCTGATTACCTGTGTTCACTGCAATGCTACATTCAAATATAAGATAAATTTAGATGATCATATTCTTAAGAAACATCCTGATTTCACAGCCTCGGTTACACTCAAAATACATGCATGTATTCACTGTCCGTTTAAAACCACCTTAAAACGTAATTTTGACAGGCATATGTTGACACATTCCGGGGCACAAACTAGCTTTAGCCTGAAGGTGTGTAATCACTGTAGTGCTACATTCAAAGATAAGATAAACTTAGATGATCATATAATTAAGAAACATTCTGATTTTACAGAATCAGTTACACGTAAAATACATGAATGTGTTCGTTGTACATATAAAACCACCTTAAAAAAATCTCTTGCTATTCATATGTTTAAACATCCTGATGCAAAAAGCAGTTTCACTTTGAACATGTGTATTCACTGTAATGCTAAATTCAGAAATAAGATAAATTTAGATGATCATGTAATTAGGAAACACCCTGAATTCACACCAACAATTACACGTAAAATACTTGAATGTGTTCATTGTACATATAAAACTACGATTAAGGTTTCTCTGGTAAGACATATACGGAGGGATCATAGGGTTTAAACGTTCATTCATGGGACAAATTTAGATGATTACACATTTAAGAAACCATCTGATTCCGCAGCTTCAATTAGATGAAACACAGACACTAGACGACAAGGTTTAACGTATATGCGAAATTAGTTGAAAGACATCCCGATTTTACAGTATAATGTACATGTAATATAAGTAAATATATTCATCGTATACATAGTTAAACACCATTAAGGTTTCCTTAACAAGGCATATCTTGCAGTTTATGGAAATTATTTTTTCCACACGCAGCGGAGAGTATCACAAGAACCTGCATGTATAATATACTGTTCAAACTACTCATATCTAAGTGTTAGCGTAATCTCTTAGACCCTTGCAATAGGTCGCCCCAAGCAATAACATTTCAGTGTTTTGCAGCGGAAAGCGCCGAGAGAGCAACTATAAGTATCGTCTAATTAGTCAAATGAGGAAAAATAGTAGAACTGTAAGCACTGAAACATCAAGTTCAAAGAGAAAGTAAGCCGCACCCAGAAATCTGTTCAGTAACGGGAAGTATTTCCCCGTAATTCCTATCAATGCCCAATAATTCCGCTTGTTTTAGATAATTCCAGCATACTTCCCTCTAGTGCACCATAATTCCCCAAAATTCACTGAAATTACTGGAAATTGAAGGGAATAAACTTTTTTTACAGCTGCTTGTATCATAAAAACAGTTTTATATGGTTAGTTCAATCCTTCTAATTCACCTTTTTAGATTCTAATACACATCTGAATTTAAACACAATTAAACTATAAATATTTCCAATGATAAAAAAATACAGCGCAGTGCTAAATTAAAGTTGCCTAATTAACTAGGTGTAGTTCCAAACTTATAGCTCATATTACGCAGTTTCCACTTTGGAGACTCAAAAATGACTTTAAATTCTCGCACAACTCATCGTAATTCCCTGTAATTCATCGCTATTCCTCTTATTTCCCCGTAATTCCTTTAAATTCCTGTTATGCGTATAACTAATTCCATAGCGGATGACCCCTCGGTAACCCTGGATAATCATATAATTAGAAAATGTCCTAACTATATTGATCAGACTTCTAGTAAAATATATAAATGTCAGCGTTTTACATTCAAAACTACCGTCAAAAGTAATTTGAATAAACATTTACACACACATGTTGAGATATGAATCACGTATTCATTGTAAAGCTAGATTCAAACATAAGAGATTTTTATAGAATGATATATTTAAGAAACATCCCGAATCCACAGCTTCATTTTCTGCTAAAATATATGAATGACCCCATTGAACAGGATGGCCAAACCTATCGGTCTTTAAATTCCTAAATTCGAGGATAATCTGAACCTTTGCTGTTTGACAATTTTTGTTGTATCTCTAAAAATAAAGTAGTGGAGGGTATTCAAAAGTTTCCGTAAAGAACACCCTGTATGTTCGAAACGGTTGAACCGATTTTAACAAACTTGGGCTAATTGATAAGAGCTATTCTTGGGTTACAAATGATATTTGATCTTTGCTCTATTTCTTCCTTCCGTTCTTTCCTTCTTTCCCTTTTCCCCCTAAACATGTTTGGTATCTGGGTAGCCAGACCTGACAAACAGACCGACGAGACTTTTAACTAAGAGCAAAGGTCCACCGGACCGCTCTGACGATGATATTTGACGTTTTGTTAGTTTCACATGTGGCCGCTAGAGGACTTTTTTGGACCTTCCGACAGATTCGTTTTTCGAAAAATCAAACGGAATGGTATGATTTTTTTTATGATACTTGTTCCTATCCTAAAATTTAGGTCAAAAAAATATTTATACGGAAATTATGTTATTACTGATTTCATCGCTTCAGTAACTAATAAAATAACCCAATATGTTCGAGATATGTCAAAACATTATGAGGCAAAAGATAGATAATAATCTGTATTCATTGCAAAGCCGCATTTTAAGAGAATTGTAATAATTATAAAATGAACCATGAAATACGTGAATATTAAGCACTGTCCATGTAAAAACACGCTCAATGGTAGTTTTGCTAAGCGTATTGTGGAAGAGATTGAAAACAGCTATGAGATTGGTACATTGTATTGGCTCCGGCGCCCGGCACATACGAGCGTTAAATTGATGCGTTGCACGTTACCCAATATGACGCGCGCCGCTAGCGTGCCCTGTTTCATTTTTATCAATCAATTCTAAACGCGCGTTTTTTTGTAGCGCGTGATGTAAACGCTCGTGTCTCCCGGTGCTAAAGGTACCGTTTCAACATATGCTCTGTGCATTTTTCTATTGCTTTCACATTTTTGGCATATGAGCCGGCACTTAACAAGGATGCTTTGTTGGAGTGGAAATATAGTCGTAAATAAAAATTTCCACTGTCGTAATTAAGAAACATCCTGATAATTCGAAATCATTTTGTCGGTGTTGAGAGTACATTTTGTCCTTATGTTAATACCTAGATATAGAAAATCAAAGAAGACTGTTCTTGATCTTGCTTAGATATTTTCAGTGCAGCATTTCATTCCTAAAAATCATTCAGTTAACATTTCAAATGGCACGTTGTTGCTATTATAAAATATGCCATTTGAGGTTTCTTGAATATTTTACGCTGCTATGGATGTTTCAACATTTTTAACATTTGGATAGTTCTAAACGTGTTACATTTTTGAAGCGCGATATATGTAACATGATGTTATGATGGAAAAAGATTGAATTAATGGAAGTTTTGTGCTTAAATGATGTTTTATGTTATGATTAGGAATATCGAGCCAAGCTATGTTTGTACATTGAACATTTGAAATATAAGAAATATTTAAATTGTCCAACTGTTATCGATCTGAACTAACATTGTAACTATTATTTCTCTGTATATAGTATCTCTATTATAAATGTACATTTGATTTAATATTGTTTTCTTGAAACTGCCTTAATTTTTAGGTATTCAAAAGCCGTTATATGATTTTCTAAGTTACTTTGTAAAGCCTTGGCACACGGCATTTTTACGTGTGTATGACGCAGTCGGAACGCGCTACCAACGCGCAATGTGCGCGACCCTGGAACTGGCATCGGAAAATATGTCGTGGGCTTAGGTTCTAAATATAAGTTATAAATTAATACCCAGCATATAATTGTATACGGTAGTGAGACATACCTCGATTGTATTGTTCAAAGTACATAATTATATGTCAGGAGATATTTTTGTATTTAATGAAGACATTTTTCAAACTTACCGTTGTTTATTATTTATTTTAGCTTCCCCAACTATCGTACAAGCTCCTACACTATATGACTACTAATAGCCGTGAAAGCTTTCATTCTTCAATAATATACCATTGTTTCCGCGTTCTTCTTACAGTCTATGAAATACCCGAACACCCCAAAAACTTTGTAACCATGCACTTTTTCAAAAAAAAGATTCCCACAAAAGTTTCAAGTGACCCAAATAATGACCTCAGATGTCATATGGAGGTCAACTTTGTACATTTAAACAGCAATCATCAGTTTTGACAGCAGATTCGCAATCAGCATGAAATTCTATTTTGTGAATCAATTTTAATACGTGGTCTAACCAGTATGGCAAGCTGTAAGGTCTGAATAGAAAACAAACGCTCTAGAACCTTGGTAAACACACATTTCTTCCAGAATAGGATCTTTCGAAAGTTTCAGATCAAAAGAGGAATCTATCGGTAACCTTAATACGACATAAATCAAATCCAAGCGAATAATCAAAATTTTTGTGTTATGTGCCGCGGTTATAATATGGTTCAAGATGACACACGGGTTGACGACGTCAGTTACACGAGTCGCTTGAACGCGTTGGTTTTAACCGCGGTTTTGTTGCAAGTTGTTTATTTTAGAAAAGCGCGTATATAATCTCTGATTATTTTTATTATCACTTAATAATCTGTGCTTTTTCGTCTACAACTGTGTATGGAAAGTTTAGATAAGAAACCTTTCATAATATTCATGGGAGAAATGTTTTTTTCAGATTTTTTTTGTAATGATGGAACCATGGCTTTGTAGCTATGATTACTTTCAATTCTCTAAATTTTTCCGCATGTCAAAGAAAACATTTATTGATTCAGCAGAAATGATGAAAAAAGAAATTAAAACCGTATACAGGTGGATATCATCTAGTGTATATGGCTACACAAGATACTTTGTTAAGCATAGGAACTACATTTAAAGTGTCCCCAACAACTGTAATGAGTATAACTAATAAGGTGCTCCACTTTATGGTAAAACTGAAGTCAGCCTGTATCAATTTTCTCAAAAATGAAGCTGAAGTATAATAACAATATCCAATACCCGGCAAAATTCTAACTTGTCACATTTCAAATAATAACCCGAAATATAAAACTACTCCTGACTTGGGTAAATACCACAATTTTGCGGTAATAACTATGACATATAACAGCTGATTCGTGACGTCACGGATCTTATAACCAAACTGATAACTACACTCGCTTGAACGGATCGGTAAATACCAACCCAAAATGGTAAATACCATTTCCATTTGGTTATCCGCTTGAATTTGATTATAGATGATGAACCCAGAGGTCAAACTGAAAAGTCGATGTCACGAAAACTTAACTTCGGCGTATTTTTTTGAGAGTTCAAACAAAAAGCTGCGGAGAATTAAAAAAGGGAGTGATCAATAACCACAGATATATCCTCAAAAGTTTATAATCAAATTCAAGCGAATAACCAAATGAAAATGGTTTTTACCATTTTGGATTGGTATTTACCGATCCGTTCAAGCGAGAGTGGTTATCAGTTTGGTTATAAGATCCGTGACGTCATGAATCAGCTGTTATCTGTCATAGCTATCACCGCAAAATTGTAGTATTTACCCAACTCAGTAGTTGTATATTTCTGGTTATTATTTGAAATGTTACGAGTTAGAATTTTGCCGGGTATTGGATATTTTTGTTGTTGGGGAACTTGATACAGGCTGACTTAGTTGTAGCAGAAAGTAGAGCACCTTATTAGTAATACTCATTACTGTTGTTGGGGACACATTAAATCTAGTTGATATGCTTAACAAGTATCCTCTGTACCACAAGAATATGAAAATATGGCCATATAAACTCACTGGCTATGGTTTTGCTAATATCTTTTTTCATCGCCTTTTCCTATTATTTCTGCTAAATCAATAAATGTTTTATTTGACATGTGGAAAAGTTTACAGAATTGAAAGTTATCATAGCTACAAAACTATGGTCCAACCATTAAAATTTTGGGTCATATCTTTTATTTTCACGACAAACTTGTTTAAAAATGAGATTTTCTCAAGTGATTTAACACCTGAACAATATCTTCTGAAAAAAAACATTTCTCCCATAAAAATTATGAAAGGTTACTTACTTAAACTTTCCATACCACCCTTGTAGACGAAAAAACACTGATTATTAAGTGATAATAAAAATAGTCAGAAATTATATACCCGCTTTTCTAAATTAAACAACTTGCAACAAAACTGCGGTTAAAACCAACGCGTTCAAGCGATTCGAGTAACTGACGTCATCAACTCGTGTGCCACCTTAAACTATATTATAACCGCGGTGCATAACACAGAAATTTTGGTTATTCGCTTGGATTTGATTCATACATTCGAATAGCAACTACGATCTTCGATATCATGTTTACCTACGCGTCCCTGGATCCATTGCAGAGCCTGGACGCCACTGCTTATACGTATTTCCACCAGATATATCTAAGAACCAACTCGACAAACAAGACTTTCGATAAAAAATCCGCACTCAAATCTAGACATTCTTTGGGGAACTATGATGTCACAGAAGACACGCATATACATCCATGCATTTATAGTTGTAATTTCAGATTGTCGTTAGTAATGATTCCCAACTGTTGCCTGCGAGGTATTAGTAAGTGGTCAGACTGACAACGTAGCGTTCGAACAGTACAAGTTTGAACTCGCTCGAGCCATTTGGTAGATTTTTTTGTGAAACAGTTTTTCCTATTGTGTTCTAAAAATGAATGACAAAAATTTCGAGCAACGGCTTGCTTCAGGTGTTGCTTTAGACTGTTTAAGCGAAAGGCGTTTATCTTCAAGAACCGATAAAAATATCGACAAAATCCGAAATGATCGGGAAGAGTAAATTTGACTCGCACCACCGTTCAGCAGATCAGCTGAAGGTTATTCCAGTATCGGAGTCCCAGCCAGAAGAGGTGGAAGAGTTGTTTCCAACGCTTACGTCCTCAGTCAGATTCTTGCTATAGTTTCTCTGTTGTCCCCGTGTGGCGTTGTCGTCTTTCTTACGCGTCATAAATTTTAGGCATGGACCACCTCTTCTCCATTTTATAGTCTCTCTGCAATTTAGGTGTTCTGTGTTTGATGAAGTGTCACAGATTGTAGTGTTTTATGTCAGTGTATGTTTTGTGTTTTGAGCTTTCCAGAATGGACGTATTTGTAGGACGTATATCGTTTCTCTTTCGGATAAAAAAGTGTTTTAGGTAGACAAGACCTACGTTCCTGCCGAATATTATACGTTTGTGTTTTCTCGATTTCCAGTTTTGGACATTGCATTTGGTTTTGGGGATAATGGAGAGGCGCGAAATGGATATGAGCATTTATCTTTCTACGCCCTTGCAAATTGATAAAATTTGTAGAGCATGTCTTTCAGAAAAAGGTGATATGAGGCCTCTGTTTGGAGCATGCCTGGACGAAATGTTAAATTCGTTCGCTTCAATAGAGGTACACAACAATACCTAGAGTATTTTACAAAAAAAAAACGTAACAATTGTAGTCCAGGAGAGTTAGGTATGCATAATCAACAGCACAATATAGGAACCTTGTCTGAAATCACAATCTAAATGACATGAACTTGTGCCACACCAAATTTTGTTTTTAAACTATTTTGAAAATTGATATCTATAGTCTTTTTTCACGAGTATCCATCACGGTAGAATGACAGTTGATTATCTAGTAATATTTCAAAATTCCCCATATAGAGAAAGGACACATAATTCTGACGGATCCGTCAGTACCAGGTAGACAAACCCATATTTTGTTTTGGTTTTTTTAACATTACAGATTTATTTTGTACTTGCTAAAAGCTGCTTTATTTGGAAAACTTCATTTGCATACAAAAAACAAAACCCTACAAACAAATGTTACTAGATTTACACTAGATTCATTATTGCCAATATTGCAGACTAACACAAAAATGTCACTTGCTGATCAGCTATATACCTCAGTAGATGTCGAAGTGTGATGGATACTCGTAAAATAGGGTGTAGTCATTTGGACCTTTGAAGTAGGTCCAAAAATTAGCTTAAAAACAGACTTTTCCAATTTGTAAGGGCCTGTAAATTTACTTCCTATTACAAATTATTATAGCTCACAATGAACAAAATAATTCATCTGACTAGGTCCATCTTAATTTTTTCCATACCAATTGAAAATTATTTTTTTAGATTAATTTTGGAACCAAAGCATCCTTCCTACTGTCACACTTCCTCAATGTTCTTCCCTTTCATTCCCATCCTTCCTGTCCCTCTTCTTTCCTCCTTTATCCCTGACTTTATGTGGTACCTAGGAACAAGACCTACTGACAAGGGTTACAGTGGGGAGCTTGTTATGTTACTTCATAATGCTTTTGCCTTGCGTATCAAAGCAGGAGTATCCAGCTATAAAATTTCTTAGCCTGTGTATAGTTCCAACAAATGATTTTAACCAATTGATCTAGAATATTTTAATTTTTTAGGTGCATCAAGGAGATGGCTTTCCTAGCCTTATGTGTCTCCAATGTGTCCTTCAATGTAGTAGAGCATACACTTTCAAGCAACTATGTGAAAAGTCTGATAACATCTTACGAGAGTACCTTTCTCCTGAGTTTCAGGTATATCTCCCTTATGTTATTGATTTTTACTCAGTTTTCGGATATCATTATACTGTTGCAAACATTTTGGAATATCAGATAACAAATCTGCTGTTTTTATAAAATCAAGTTTAATGGCAGTGAAGCTATGAACAAAAACCAAAATGCTTCAAATCATCGCATATTTCTGTTTTTGTCCATCTTGTCATTTTCTCCAAAAAGATACCCAACCATTTGTTGTATTCACTTACCATTGCCATTTACACAGCAATATTTCCAAATCGAGCAGAATCCCAGTAATTCCATTAGAAGTAATAAAGACAGACTTCATCTTCCTTTTAAAGATGGTGGTAGATGGAAGTTTTTTATTTCCTATGCCACAGTGTTGAAGAAGTATTGCAATCGCGAAAGTCATATAAAATTTTTTAATGCTATTTGATATGAAAAGCGCTGTGACTTATTTCTATCTAAGTACTATTTGGATTTGGATGAAATGTTCACACAAGAACGACAAAGCTTTGTAGATTTTGAAAATTGGCACAGTGACGGATGAGAAAAAGAAATTGCTTAAACTTTCTTTTTTTCAGTGGCTGCTGATCATTTATGGAACATTTTTTATGGGTCATAAGTTGGGGGGTGAGGGAGGATATATCTCGAATTTTTATATTAGTATATATACACTTCCAACCCCGCTTATTCTGCATACCTATTAGACATACTTCACACCTCATATATTTGCCAGTGCATTTGTGCTTGAAACTATTTTTAGCAGACGGGTCGCCTATTAGTCGCATATGCCTAGCGCCACTGGGTTATTTATAAATATTGCAACTTTGGTATTCAACCCGAGTGACATATACGACGTGGGCGCGATATTATCTATATCAAAACTAGAATATTGATGCTTAAACATGCTATTTTTAAGGTCTTGATACGACCATTTTCATCGAAATACAGCCTGTCAAAAATGACGAGATATTTGGATTTATTCTTGCTCTTTTAATTTTGTAGTAGTTGATCAGCAATAGTACTAAATCAATCAAGTTGAAACCACTTTTTATAGCAACGCCTTGCGCAGTCAGTTTCTGAACAGCATGATGAAAAATGTGAGGAGATTGAAGCTATCGATCAAGAGGAACAGCAGCAAGAAGTGGTTGGAGAAGAAACTCAAGTGATAACAGACGCCAGAGAAATACATTTGGTTGATGAAATGGGCAATATCGTCGTACATCATGACGTCACAGAATTCGTCACGTACGCAGAAGATGTATGTAGTACCTAGTGCTTTGATCAATAGTTTCAACTACATAGGTGCTCTAAACGTTGACACTTTGCAATAACAAATCTAACATCGGGTTAAGCAGCAGCGAAAAGATAAAAAATTGAAAAAATCGCCCACCATTTATTTAGTAGGTAATTTCAATAAAAAAAAGTTTGTTGACTTACTCAATTTTCAATATTCGGTAGGTATTATGCAGAGTCTCTCCTCGACATTCCTACATTCTGAAGGTACCGTAAACTGATGTGACTTCGACAAGTTCGTTATTTATGTAGGAAGTGTACTACTTTCTTTTTTTAAACAAACAGCTGGGCTTATATACACGGCACGCGGCGCACGTCGTATCTTTTCGCTTAATCCTTTTCTGGAGAAGATTTTTTCGGAGACTAATAACTCCGTTATCCTTAGTCTGTAGTATCACTAGAAAAACTTTATTATCTTTACAAAAACTATACCATGTGTAAAGGAAATTCCCAAACCCCAAGATAACTCTACATAGGGATTTTAAAATAAATAAATAATTTTAGGTGAAAGATGGCGAGATCTATACAACAATTGAATGTGTGCCCAATGTGCATGATATACATATAACTGAAGAACCCCAGCACCAACAGGACGCTATCCAGATTGAGCAAGTTGAAACACAGGAAGAAAAACATAAGTATCCTTGCCCAAAGTGTGACATGTCTTTCAATCTTAAAGTTGACCTAAAGGTATACCAGATATTATGTATATATAACTACCTTCCAAGTATTTGAAAATATTTGATTCTTCGTAAATGCTTATAAATCATCGTGTGTATCTAACTTTTTTCAACAATTTTTCTAAAGCCGCTAGAAATGGCGGCTGCATAAACAAATCAGTCAAAAATCATTCAGCAAAGTATTGACAAGTAATGACATCCATTAGCTATTTTAAAGTTAATTCTCAGATAATGAATTGGTCATCATAATAAATGTTTGCTTACACTATCTTTATCATAGCAGATTATCAAACTTGAAGTTTGTCGGCACTACTTTTTTACGGCAAAATTCGAGATGTTCTCCATATAGTGTGTTGTAAATTTTTAAAATGCTCACATGAATCCTAATCAATCAATCAATATTCATAGACAAACTAACCACGGTTATGAAATCAACGACCCAAAAACCCTATACTGAATATTGAATAAATGCCGTCGAAAGACACTAATTGTAGGGTTATTTCTCGCAAAGGCGACCTTTTCATGTAAAGTTTCTTGGAGAAACAAGGTTTGCGAAGGTTCGTCTCATTTCAGATACACTTGATGAAACACCCGAAAGACTTGGACTACATTTGCGATATTTGCCAAAAGGGCTTCCCGGAAGCTAGGATTTTGAGGCGGCATCTGAAAATCCACCTGGAAGAAAAACCTCACAAATGTGATCAGTGTGACATGTCGTTCGCGGAAAGTTCAAATTTGAGTAAACACAAAAAGAAACACACTGGAGAGCTGAGAAACATCGTAGGCAAACCTCATCTATGTCCTTCGTGTGGGAGGTCCTTCAAATGGGCCTCCAGTTTGTCGAAGCATATGAAGTATCATACAGGACATAAGCTGCTGTCTTGCGAGTATTGTGGGAAGCAATATGTTGAGGTATATTTTTCTTTTTTGTTGTGCTTGTGCCTAGGTGTTTTAATAAAAAAGTGCAATGCTGGAATTAATACTCAAGTTTTTTCATAGTCGATCAGTATTATGTTTCAAACCAGGGTCCAAGACGGGTGCTATTATTGTTCGACATCAACATAGCTTATGGTGCGGAGTTGATTTCTGCGTTTATATTGGAGAGGTGTGCAGCTGAGCTTGCTCGAGTTGTTTCGCGTCTAATCAAATCCGGCAATTTCCCAGAAAACTGGAAATTGCTCATGTCCAACCCATCCAAAAAGGTATCTAAGACAGACCCAGAGAAGTGTATTAATCGCGAGTTTCTGGACTACCTTGAACGTCACAGGGGACTTCCTAGCTAGAGTATTTGTTTAGGGCTAAGCAATACTTTTCTTCTCACTCTATACAAGATCCAGATAAGCCTCGAGTTTGCTCACATGTTTGGGGTGCTGCCGCTCCGACTACGTTATTTATGATCGATGCTGTCCAGAGGAGGGCTATCCGACTGATCGATGGCAATCTCTAATAGACAGTCTCTGGACTCTTTCGCACCGGCGGGTCGTCGGCGATCTAGCTTTCTTCTCACCAACGGAGCTCTCCTCCATGATGCCGCCGCGCGATGTGCCTGCCAAACAGACCCGCCTGACTTGGGCCTCCCATCCTTGTCCCGAGGGTGTCGATATTATGGTACCATCTACAACTAGAGGCTTTCCCCGGTTCAGCTAACCTTGGGCAGTTCAAAAATTAACAAAAGTTCTTTGGGATCCTCATAGCAGTCTTGGCATTTAGGCTTCTGGCTGCGTGTAAAAAACATACTTAACAATATGTGTATTTTTACAGGCAAGGAGCTTAAAGATTCATGTTAGGAGTCACACTGGGGAACGGCCTTATGTTTGTAATATATGTCAGAAAGGTTTTACGCAGGTGTGCAACTTAGAAAAGCATATGAGAGTGCACACAGGAGAAAAACCATTCCAGTGCAATATTTGTGGCAAACGGTTAGTAGTTAGTATTTACTACAGTGTCCGTCAGAAAGAACGCATGTTTTTTAAATGAGTAGTACAGTCAAAATAAGTATGGGAAAAAATATTTTATTATATCAAAATACTTAGAAATATATGGCTATTTTTTTAGTAAAACAAAATTTACGTTCTAAAAACTATGACGGACACATGGCGCCCTTGAGCGCCTTGGGTTACTTCTCTTCTTATTTCCTCCTTCAAAACGACGAGGGCCCGAGGCTTGCTTTGGTAAACTTTTGATTTCAGGTAGCCCCATAAAAAAAATCACACGTTGACAGGTCCGGGGAGCGAGCGGGCCATGGAATATCGCCATGACGTGAAGTGAGACGTCCTGGGAATTTTTGCCGAAGAAGTTCCATCGAAGTGCGAGCTGTATGAGATGTTGCCCCGCCTTGTTGGAACCACACTGTTCTGAGACGGACACGTCGATGTCGAATTTCCGGAAAAAAGTTGTTCAGCATGCCGATATAACGCTCACAGTAGTTGTTTCTCCAGGGTCCTCAAAAAAATAAGGGCCAATAATCATCGTTGGACCTACTGCACACCAAACTGTAACTTTCGGGGTATTCAAGGAGTGCTCATGCAACTGTTGGGGATTCAGTGGAGACCAATATCGACAATTTTGTTTATTGACGTATCCATGTAAATGAAAATATGCTTTATCACTCATAAACAATGCATGTCATTGTTATCCAACTGTTCAATCATTAGCTGTGCAAAATTAACACGTTGTGCATAATCCCCTGGCAACAATTAATTGTTGACAGACTTGGATTTTGTAAGGATGGAACACTAAATCCTTCTTGAAGATGCGACGTACAGAGGACGCGTGGATCCCTAGGGAACTGGCACGCATAGGACGGAACGATTCGGACTTTGCAGCGTGTCAACTCTCACTCTGTCTACGTTTTCGGGGGTTTTAACAGTACGGTTTCGCCCTGGTGGTCTTTTCTTCATCACATTACTGTTAAGGTAACGTTGCGTTCGAACGACAGACTTGCCATTTTGAAAGTAAAGACGTACAGTGAACACACGATGCTCAACGTTCCAAACCATCTTTCTAGCTGAATCGGCATTTCTCCCACTATCCAGCACGCCCTTCCCCACCGACACGGGACCAGCCCACTCGATGTAGTACCCATTCGAAAAACATGCGTTCTTTCTGACGGACCCTGTATATAATAATCAAACTGAAGACCCAGTCACGACGTGACCGCTGGATGTCGACGATTCTAGCTGTGTAGTAGTTGTGGTCTACTCGCCATTGAACAAAATAAACATTATCTGCTTTCGTCCATCCGTCCAAAGACAGACAACCATGAACGGCTGTTTCGTGCTTTTTGGCTACTGCTCGGCATAGTGTAGGCTTGGGTCTCTCGGATAGCGAACGAAATCATAGTAAACACTATCCAAAGTGTGTGATCGATCGAAATAAGACAGCACGAATCGTCGCTAACTAGCGGTCACGTGGTGACTGAGCCTCCAATTCGCGGACTGAGATTTACACAGTTCCAACCGGTTTGCAGAGGTAGATGGCGCTTCGCGCTGTCTTATTTCATCTATATAATTTTAACCTGCGACGCTGATTTTGTTTGTTTTAGCTTCACCCAATCAGGCTACGTGAACATCCACATGCGCACTCACACCGGCGCTCGACCTTACGTCTGCACGACGTGCGGCAAGTCCTTTGCGGGTTCCAGCACGCTACACATCCATCAACAGATTCATACTGGCGAGAAACCATACGCTTGTAATGTATGCGGAAAAGCGTTCAGCAGACATGAGACACTCATCATTCATTCAAGGTATATTATAACGGCTAATTACCTTCGAGATACTTTTTTTCTGTAAACTGTTTCGCAGATAACGCATCAGTCCTCTTGACTTGTCGTGATGTTTCTACTATACTTTTATTCTACGAGGTTTGTCCGGAAAAAGGTATAAAAAATTCGGGACGTCGTGGAGGGGTCGAGGATTCGAGCCGCAACGCTCTGCGAGTGAGTAGGATTTACTTGTGAAAAGTAACCCTTTTTTACCTGCCCTTGGCATGCAGCTTTCTTTGATCGAGAAACAACATCAAGTTCCTTACAAAGCTAGGCAAAAATGGTCGTGAGATTTTTTAGTGTTTGGAACAAGTTTACGGTGACAATTCTCTGAAGGAACCAACCGTCAACAAGTGGTTGAAAAGATTTCGGTTTAGTACATGGTGAATTCCCATCAAAATTAAAGTGTTCCACCATTACTCCTGTGCCAACAGTTCAAAATTCTCAGCTGTATACAAATATGCGACCGATTAATGTCTTGCCCGATGTTGAGAAGCTGTTCGAAGGGATAATATACGAACAAATCATAGAATTGATTGAAGAAACCAAAATTTCGATAAAAAATCAAGCTGGACTTAGAAAAAACTGTTCCAAATGGTGGTGGAAGACTGGAGAAGAAGTATAGATGAGAAAGAATATATTGTAACAATATTTTTAGACTTCGAAAGGGCATTTGAGACTATAGATAGGGAAAAATTGTATTTATATGATATCTCTGACATTTTAGAACACTACAAAATTCAAATATTTTCGGATGATACACTTATATACATAGCACATAAGCATTTGGACACTGCTTTAGAACTAGTAGATAATGATATTAAAAAAATTATGGATTGGTTAAATGTCAAATTTAAATTAAACACTAATAAATCGAAATGTATGTCAATAGGGAAACATTTAGGGGACAATACAATTAATGATGAAAAAATTCATTTAAATATCTTGGTATATATGTATGTGGATAGTAAGCTACTGTTTCACGAACATTATGAATACATTACACTGGACAACAAATTTTAGTTTTTTAATTGTATCTTGTGGGAAAAGTGCACTTCTTTGTTAATTTTGGGGCGCTGAATCCAAAAATGACAATGAAATAAAAAAATTAGTTGCGGTTTAGAAAAAAACTTTTTATTTTTAAGGATATATTAAAAAAAGTAACAAGATTCATATACTTATAAGAATCACTATATGGGCTGTCTTTTTGCTGTTCTTTTATGGATCGTTTCTGGAGCATCTCTACCAAGAGTCCAACAGTAGTCTGCAAGCATGGAAGGATTCCACTTTCCCTGGTACCTTTTTTCCATTGTTGAAATATCCTGATGAAAACGTTCGCCGTGCTCATCACTTACGGCTCCGCAATTGTCAGGAAAAAATTCCAGGTGTGAGTGTAGGAAATGTATCTTGAGAGACATATTACAGCCCATCTTTTGATACGATGACAGCATATTTTTGACAAGGGTTTTATAGTTGTCAGCTTTTCTATTTCCCAAGAAATTAGTGACCACCAGACGGAAATCATTCCAAGCAGTTTTTTCAATACCTGTTAAAGTGTTTTCAAACTGTGTATCTTTCAAAATATTTCGAATCTGTGGCCCAACAAAAATACCTTCTTTAACCTTTGCCTCACTTAGTCTTGGAAATTTCTGACGCATGTATTGAAAAGCTGACCCATCTCTATCTAATGCCTTGACAAAGTTTTTCATTAGGCCCAACTTGATATGCAGTGGTGGTAATAAATTTTTTTTCGAATCTACTAATGGCATATGCTGTACATTTTTTTGACCTGGCTCTAGGAATTGACGATCAGGCCAGTTTTGTCTGGTGTAATGAAGTGCCTTTGCCCCACTGTCCCATTCACACAAAAAACAGCAAAACTTTGTGTAGCCTAGCTGCAGCCCAAGTAAAAGTGCAACAACTTTCAAATCGCCACAAATATGCCATTGGTGCTCATCGTATTTTATGCATGTCAATAGGTACTTCATATTGTCACATGATTCTTTCATGTGAACTGCATACCCTACAGGAAGAGATGGTAAAATATTTCCAATATGCAATAACACTACCTTTAAACTCAATGTTGAACTGTCTATAAACAATCTCCATTTTTCTGGGTTATAGTTTATATTTAAAGCTGCCAGTAAGCCGTTAATGTGACTGCAGAAAACCAAGTTATTCTCCATATTGAAAAATGGTTCTAAGTCTTTGTGGCGTTTACGAAAAACACATACCGAAACATCGTCTTCTAACAAGTTCCACTGCTGCAGTCTTGATCCAAGTAACTCTGCCTTACATTTTGGAAGTTCTAAATCTCTTACAAGATCATTTAATTCTGACTGTGTTATTTTGTGTGGTTGGTGGCATGACGTGCTCGGTATAAAATCAGGATCTCTTGACGTTGATGGCATATCTTCTTCCTGACGAATCACTCGATCGCCATGATCTGATTCGTTTTCTGATTCGCAAGTCTAGGATTCTGGGGGTTTTGGAATAGGATTTTCGTCACTGTGAGGCACAGGTCTCGTCGCAGATGGTATGTTTGGGTAGTTAATAACCGATTTTTTTTTCTTGGACATACCTGTGGCTTGTCCAACACAAGGTACCATGCAAAAGTAACAATCATTAATATGATTTGTAGGCTCTCTGCAAACCTTTGGGACAGCAAAGCGCATAGACCGTTTTTTGCCATTTAACCAGCTCCTCAGATTTGAAGCACATGTATTACAGCAGATGTGGGGTGCCCACTGTTTGTCTTGATCACCTAGTTTACAACCGAAATAAAGCTGATATGCCTTTGTTATTAGTGGAGTAATAGACCGTCTCTGAGACGCAAAAGTCACATCACCACACACGTAACAAAACTGATCTGGATTGTTTACACACTTTCGAGACATCTTGCATGAACGCTGTCAGCCAACTGAGGAAAAAATGGCTAATATAAAACAATATAATGTACACGTATGTATAACGTAACACAATCATGCCGATTACATCATCTTTCCTTGCCGAATATAAAAATGTAGCACGTACATTCTTGTGAATTACAGTATATTAACACTGTCACAGCAGGAACACATATAATTACCGCATCTCTAGAACTTGAACTAATATTGAAAAAATAAGTTTCATTCCGGTTTTAGCACATTAAAAATAGTAATATTTTGTTGATTTTATTTAGGATATTTTTTGGCTGTTGATCAGTGATTTCAAAAATATCGAAAAAGATAAATTACTTCTATAGAGTTTCCCATAATCTTAGTATGTATTCCAAAAATTGTGTATCACACTATAAGTTTTCCCCATTTTTTATATTGTTTAAACCTCTTGTTTACAGCAAATGAAAACATATTTTAAAAATTACAAATTCTACAAAATAAAGCTATGAGAATCATTCTAAATAAAAACGAATATACTAGGATTACGTCTATGTTAGAAGAACTGCAGTGGTTCTATGTCATATATTATTTAGTTCTCGTTTTCATATTCAAATTATTACTACCACATTTAGAGAACTTCACAAAATTGAATAGTCATTATCATAACTACGAAACTAGAGGCAGTATATATTTTTATCTGCAAAATTGTAATAGCAGCATAACTAGTAAATCTATATTCCAAAAGGGAGTATTTGAATTTAATATATTGAATAATGCTATTAAACAAAGTTCGAATTTAAAAATGTTTAAGGTGAAATTAAAAAATTCCTTTATGAATAATCGCAATACATAGTGACGTAATTTTTTATTTTAATAGACAAGAATGTAAAATTACAGAAAATGGATTGAAGAAAAATATGTAACCGAATCATTATACAAAATTGACATTGTAGCATTAATGCTAAATAAATCTTCAACAACAACAAAAAAAAAAGGTCGAGAAGATGTGAAAGATGACCGTCGATTGTCACTTAGATTGATAGCTGAGGAACTGTCAATCCTCAAAACAATCGTCCCGAAGCTCTTGACTGCAGAAACTGCAGAACAGACAGGAAGGAGGGTTATTTGCTGTGAGGATCCGTTGGAAGCAGAGGAAAGGGGAGACTTTCTCAACCGGGTCATCGCTGGAGACGACTCTTGGTTCTACGAATTCGATATGGTGCTGAAATCTCAAGCCATGGAGTAGAAGCAAGCAGAGAAACTGAGAACAAACAAGTCGAAAAAATCAAGGTCCAATGTGAAATCAATGTTGATTGTTTTCTTTGATTCTCGGGACATTGTTCACCAGGAATTTGTCCCTCCCTGCCAGATGGTGAACGGAAATTTCTATATTAAAGTCTCAGAGCTCGTTATACATATTTTCCGGACAAAACCAGTATACTCTAACATTTCATTCGCCTCACTTCATTTAAACTTAGTTTTGGTAAAACGAACGTGCATTAGACTGAGCGAATCGGAGTGAGATGAGCTAGAGATTGGGTGTATTTATACTACTAACGAACCATGTTCACATTAATTAATGTCAATCTCGGCACTCATGTACTGATAATTCTCGAGTTACGCAAGTAAAAGTAAATTGCTCAATGTGTATACGTATTATAATTTCCACATTTTTTTCCTTTTACTCTAAAACCGAACCGCATGTGATTTTGATAAAAATGAACTAAACTTTGTTACAGATCCCACACAGGAGTTAAACCATACATATGCACTGTGTGTAATAGAGCGTTTTCATCGTCAGGATTGTTAAGTGGGCATACGAAGACGCATACTGGAGTAAAGCCTCATGTATGTGATATTTGTCAAAAGAAGTAAGTATCAAGAATGTATGTTCTGATTATCTGTAGCTCTATGGATCGATAAAACCAAAGAGCAGGCAATATATTTGCATCTGATGGGAAAAATATTGACTCGGATTTTTTGCATCATCTTATTCAAAAAGGTCTCCTTTTAACGAATCTGAAGGTTTCCAGGGCCAAATTTGCGTAAAAACTGTTTTTTAAACAAATTCCGAAAGTTGTTTTTTTCGCTCCGGCCAAAATGCGTTTACCTTTTTTGGAACATTCTGAACAAAAAATGTGCTTCAAAACTTTTCTTTAAAGTTGTTTGTTTTCGAGGTATATGCAATGTTTGAAAAAATGCGAATTCTGTCATTATCGACCTCGAAAACCAGTATAAAGAAATGAAAATATTGATGTTTTCAATGTTGTTAAATATTCCTCGAACATCCATTAACAAAATCTCAAAGCATTTGAGGACGTATTGTTATTGTAAACCTTTGTTTTTTAATTATTAATCGAATGATTCTCCGGCGCGGCTTTATTTTATTCATATATTCGTCAACAGATACTCGTAGAAGATCCAATTACAGAGAAACACTATACAAGTGATGGAAAACAAATAGACTCACATACCAAAAATAGTATCATGGATTTATGATACTAAAAAAACCCATGTGTATATATCAGAAATCCAACACAAAGCCACATGAGCGCAAAAAAATATATTTCTGAATGTTAATTTTACTCCTAAAATACATAATAATGCATGCTAGTCCATACGCCTTTGATACGGCATTAACCATTATTGAGATATGCCCAACACAAGACAAAAATGAGTCAAAAACAACATCCAATTCTTTTGACAACGAGAAAGTACCTCATCGAAGATAAACGAACTTTTCCTTCTGGTAAAACATACGACGTTACACTTTCTTACATTCAAACCAAGTTTGTTTACCTGACGTCTGATTATTATCCAATTTCATCTGTAAGGTATGAAAGTCTTCCATACTTATGATAGATAGGGAAATCGTCACGAGCATAAAGAAGATTATTATAATTGAGAGTATCACGCAAGTCATTAATAAGTAATGTGAAATGCAATGGGCCAAGATTTGATCCCTGCGGCACCCCCAATGTGCAAGCATATTCATAAGAGTTGTAAACATTATATGCCTTCTGTTAAATATGTCTAATTCAAAAAATAGCAAAGCTGATTTAAGCCATAATTTTTAAGTTTGTTTATAAGAACTGCATGACCCAGCATATCCAAGGCTTTGGCCACGTTTGTCAACGCAATCTGATAGATATTGTGTGAATACTATCAGATTTTTCTTTGATCTTTGAAACTATAACTAAAAATATTCTGTAGAATATATATTTTAGAAAATTCTTGGTATCGCTCTTTTCAGGTTTGCCAGTTCAAGCAGTCTGAAGGTGCACTTACGATCGCACTCTGGCGAGAAACCTTATGTTTGCAAGCTGTGCAACAAGAGTTTTGCACAAAGCAGTTCTCTGCATCAACATCTAGGCACACATCAGCATTTAGGCGAGCACACAATTGAAGTCGAGGAAATCTCCGAGGTGAAGACGGTACAAGTAGCGGAATTAATGTAAGTTCCAGTAAACCTAGAGTTTAATATGTATGTATGATAAAATATGCAAACAGATGAGATAAAATAGCATTATCTGTCTATCACATACAAAGCAAATTGTTGTTATTGTATGTGTGATGAATGAATTTCGAGCGTATGCGGTGTTGGATCCTTTGGCGTTGCGAATATTACTACAACAGAGTTTTATCACTCGCACTCGTTGTTTTACTCTTCAAAATATTTTTCTCCCCCCTCTTTAAACAGCCAGCAACCCTGCTTCAGCTAGATGCCGAAGTCTGCCCAACCGAGATCGAATCATAGTGTCATCGAGAGATGGAGGCTGGAAGATATTTATGCACTTTTCGAAATAATCTTCATAACATTTTTCTCATTTTTTTCAGAACTGCCGATAATCAGACCATCAAGGTACAAGCTATCACAACTATGTAATTTTATATTTTTATATATTATTTTTAATTCAATTGTGTAAATAATGATTATATAAAATAAAAATTATTATACTACAATACTGTTTATTATCAACATTAAAGTTTATCACGCGTCCAACATAAGAAGAAGTAATATGCATACACTGAGAACCAAATTTGTATGACGGCTTGAGTTCAATGTGTATGAGAAAGAAGTGTGTATGCACATTTTTGAATTGTGAATTGTGTCGAATCTGTTTTGGGTCAATTGCCGATCGATTCTAACGCTCCAATTTAGGTCGAAATGAAACGTCACTAATTCTGCAACATTGCATCATTCGTTAGCTTGGCAACACCTCACCTCCTACATTCCAAGGCAAGGTTTCCACCTCCATGATCATAGATTTTGGTCGGCAACCAGGGCTCGCTGGGGACTGTCGTCTTGCTTCGAAATGGTTTTCACCTGCGTACACGCAGGCAGTGATAATTTGTATTGCGTCACGGTATTTGTTACACTTTCCGACCGCTCGCTGTCTCAAAATGTAACAGTAACTCAGAATGTGTTGATTTTATTACCATCTGTGGCAATCACATTAAATGTTCGAACTGACCTCCTTCTTGGGTTTGCACGACCTTTTGCGTCGCTAGGCGATGTGGTGATGATCTTCGCTCTTCAGACGGCTTCTTTCCCGTACACATTGAACGCAAGGCGTCAGACAAATTCGGTTTTCCCTGTATATTAGCCGTACTTTCATCTAGAGAAGAACATAACTGGCAAAGTGGAGGGAAAATCATTAAACACCAGGCTCAATGGTGCTATAGCCAACTGATATCGCTATCTGTTGCAAGAGTTAGTGGACGACACAGTCAAGCAAACACAAAAAGCAACTTCAATCATAATTAATTTGTGAACCGAGAACAGTCAAAACCCTTACAAAAATAAAATCTTTTTGAGCCATAACTATTAGTCGGGTGATTATACAAGTATGTATGTGTACGATAGAGGACAGATGACTAATACCTTCAGTATGAACATATAGCGCAACGCTACCCACTATGAAGAAATGCAGCAAGCATTACCGTGGTGGCATGTGTGGCGAACGACTGCGGGGCTTTATTGGAGATTTCTGCAGATCTCACACTTCGGGCGGGTAGGGCAGGTATGGCGATATTGTCGAGTTTTTCTGCCTGAGAGTGGCTATAAAAGCTGAAGAAAACGTCAAGAGATAACTTTTTCTGGAAGTGTACCTGTCACCAAAACTTTTTGAAGAGCGGGAGCTAGCACATTTCTCCAGAGAGGCATATCCTGAAAATTGTACACAAAATCGTGTTAATTCTGCAAATTTCAAGGTCTAGCCTGATTCCCCACCTGGCCCCCCTTTGGTGGCGCCCATGGATGCTATAACAGATACCACAGTGACCTTTAAAACAATTATTCTCTTCGAAAATGGATATAGGATTTTGAAAACAAATTGCTGGACAAGTATTTTAGAATGCATTTGCCTTTGAATATTTCAAAATTTACAGCCCGAGTCTCCATGATTTGGAAAACCCTTTCAAATATATAAATAACTCCTGACTACAACCTTGAACTCTGGAAGAAAAATCTAGACAAATCAACGGAAACAGGATGAATTTTCTTATCTAAAAATGACCAAATATCCTTCCGTGAAACTTCTTGCGCATGTGGTCCCTTTGGTATCTTTATCGCCGAATTTGTAGGAGTATTTTTTGGGCGTACTCAACCGAAATTCGGTCAGTGATTCTAAACTCCCTATTTCCCCTAACTCCCAAGCCTACCATACAAAAACAGTTCCAAAACACGGTTGCCACATATTAGAAGTTAGGGGATTTTAACTTAAAAAATATATTTATAAATAATATCAAAACATCCATAAAAAACATAAGTACTTGATGCTTTTGGAAAATCAAGTAATCAAAAAGCTATATCGTGTGTATAATATTTTTCACTGTATTGTTTTCCTATTGAAATCAAGTTATCCATTAAACTGATAACGCAATGTATAGTTAAAAGTGCCCTATTCGCATTTCGATATTCTTCTACAGCAGAATGTGCAAATTGTATTACTTCATACCCGCCAAATTCGAAAAGAGGGATGTGTATAGAATGTGATAGGGTCTTAAAAACCCCTTGTGTGGACTGGCGCTTATTTAGAATTAATTTTACCCGACTATGCATCTAAGAATATAAGAAATATAAAATCGACTTTCCCAGAAGTCGGGTCCCGGTTTGAAGTTGCCGGAAATTGGCGTTCCCGGAAACGTTTGAGTGCTCCTCAACAAATAGCAGGTCTTCCCGCGTGTTTCGGTCGTAGGCGCTTGGGAGAGACAAATGAACGACGTCGCATTCTGCACACGCGCAACGACCGATTACCAATTCAGTTCGTAACTTTGGACAGAGCAACCCTTGAAAAAGGAGTTCTGTAGCGACTGAATCTATTGTGTGTTGTTTCAATTGTGATCCAAAAGTGAATTCAGATGGTAAGATACCTCAAACACTTTCTTGCTTAATATTCCAGCCACCCCCTCTTATATTATAGCTCTGTGTTGCAACTGGTGGAATGAACTGTAGTTTTGTGTATTTCTTTAATGCTGGAAGATAAAAGATAGCTATGCATGAGTTCATATATTATGTTGCTCCACTTTTTTATCTCAATGCATAATTTTCAATACGAAATTTGTTCATTTTGGGTGATTCGCAGAAGAATCCATTCATATTTCCAAGAATATTTGTTGGCGACTTGATTTTGAGTTAAATTCATAGGTATATTTAGATTTCTGTAGTGGATAGTTGGTATCACTAAGCAGAGATGTCAAACCTTTCGTGTTCCGTGGTTCCGTGTCATTATTTGCGCACTTAGGTTATGTCCGTTCCGTATGTTTTCTGTGTATAATTTCTTGGTGTTTTTGTCAATTATTTTTTATAAAGAAAAGTAAACTATCAAATTGTTTTCAAAAAAATAGATTCAGCGAGTCATGACAAACAAACATTTAAAACAATCTAAAATGGAACCCAAATCTAATAGAAGAGTAGAGAAGTAAGATAATAATTTTACAGTTTCCCAATATTTATATTTTTTCTCATCATTTTTTATCTCATTGAAGGTTTGCCTACAAGCCAAGGTCCCATTTTAAAGATAGAAAGTCGAGAGTTGACCCTAAGTGTCAAGAAGCAACTCCAGAGTTGATGAGAATAGAAATTGATCAGACATTCAAAGAGTTTTTGGATGACCCTGATAAATTGGAATATATTTTTCCCTCAGATTTGAACAATTTGCAGCGTAAATATATTCACCACAAAGCCCAAGAGATGAATATTATTTCCAAGTCTTATGGCAAAGAGCCAAATCGCCAACTTCATATAAAAAAACGAAACAAGCAATTGGGGTATCAGTATTTCATGGTTCAACCATGTGGTATGACTGAACAGTGCTTAGAAGAATTCCCTCAATCACTAAAACACAGGAAAACGACTGCTTATCAATCCAACAACGCAGATAAATTCTTCTCTGGCAGATTAGCAAATGGACCTCCAACTGTGCCTTCCTTCCCTAAATATGATAGAGAAGTTTCAGAAATTCGTATCAACTTGCCAATCTTTGAGAAAAGGCAAGAAATCCTGGATGCTATAAATGCCAATCAGATAGTAGTCATTTCTTCTGAAACTGGTTCTGGCAAAACAACTCAGGTGCCTCAATATATCTTGGAAGAAATGGCTAGTAGCTTACTACCTTGCAAGATTATCTGTACCCAACCTAGGAGAATATCTACAATCTCAGCTGCAGAAAGGGTATCATATGAAAGAGGGACAACTTTGGGCACATCTGTTGGATACCATATCAGACTTGAACAAAAGTATGGGATCAACACAAATCTCATTTACTGCACTACAGGAGTTTTTTTGAGAAATCTGATGTGCGGACCGCACGGATTGAAGAACATATCACACATAATTCTAGATGAAATACATGAAAGGGACAAGCTCACCGATTTCCTTCTTATATGCTTGAAACAAGCTTTACCCATGTATCCTAATCTAAAGATCATTCTCATGTCTGCTACTGTTAATATAGACAAGTTCTTGAATTACTTTGGTGGTGGCACAGTTTTATCTATACCGGGAAGACAGTTTTCTATAGATGTCATCTCTTTGGAACAGATTTTAGTTTTTACTAAGTATATGTCTCCTAAAATGAGAGAACAAAAGGCAAAATCAACTGAAAAGAAACCTGAACTGATACAACCCAATGTAGCAATTGAAGAAAACCTTGAGGACCCACTGATGGATGAAGCCCTGGATGATTATTTAAATTTCAGTGAGAATTATGACTATAAGATTCATTATGAAGAGGCTACTGCTCAACTTGGAGTCTTTTTTTATCTGAAGGAGTATCGATAGATTACCAACATTCAAAGACTGGTGTAACTGCTCTCATGATTGCTGCATACTTGGGTGATAAAGAGTTCATCACTAGGTTGTGCAATATGGGTAATAATTTTTTATTTACAAAAAAAATATATTAAGAGTCATTATGCTACCTAACTTTTTCAATTTGCAGGTGCAAACATGGACCTGGCTGACAAAATGGGAAAGAGTGTTTTTGATTATGCTCAGGACTCCACTGAAACTATGCGCTTACTGGAATACATCAAAAATAGTAAGGAACACATACCTGAGATGCAGAATTCTAAGTATGATGTCAAAGAGGCAATGGAACTGCTCCAGTTATACGATAAAACTACATCTGATGACTGTATTGATTATGATCTAATTGTGAAGATCATACAAAACATCCACACCACCAATCAGGAAGGTATGAGCTTAAATATAGTGTTACAGTAGATCTAATACCAATTGAAAGAACATAAAATACCCTGGCCTGCAAAAAGGTATAAAATTCTATGTTGTTTCACGTGAATATTAGAGTAATTGTCTTTCTACAGTTTGTACACTAATGAGCAGTTCTTAAGCTCTGCACTTGTCTATATAGGATTTTTTACTTTTTGGCCTCTTTGCGCTCCAGGTTTTTTCACTGTTTCAAATAGGAAATGATGTAGACTTTGGAAACAAGAACATTTTTATTTCATTTAAATTTGTAGTAGAAATGGTATTTTTGTTATTTAGGTTAGAGAACCTTTCATATCTTTCTACAAAGCCAGCTAATAGCCATTGTCTGTTTCAAGTGGTCTACAATGAATAAGTTCTATTATTGGTTGATTGTTATTCTTCTAAGGTGGTATCCTGGTTTTCCTGCCTGGATACGACGAGATAATGCTGTGTAACGATAGATTAGCTACAGTTCCAATGCAAGAGGGGACGTACAAGGTATACTTTTTGCATGGTTCGATGAATATGAAGACGCAACAGGACGTTTTCAAGAAGACTAACGGTCAACGGAAGATAATCTTGTCTACGAATATCGCTGAAACCAGCATCACCATCGACGACGTTGTCTTTGTGGTTGACACTGGGAAGGCTAAAGAAAAGTGCTACGATTCGGTAAGTTTTACGTATTCTAAACATATCCACAGCTTCAAGGAACGATTTTCTATGTGATTTCGTTTTAAAGCCGCTTTTGTTGAATTTAAATTGAAATTGAGTTTGAATCTTGTGGTATTTTCGAATATGTTGTTTATTAAGATATACAGGGTGTCCCAGAAGTCGACGTCAAGCCGAAACCGGGTGATGGGCGAAGTCATAACAGCTATCAGAAAAATATTTAAAAAAATTGTATGTATGTGTTTTGAAAATTATAGGTCTTTGAAAAAGATATAGAAATTTCACACCGTACGGCAATCTGTCAACTCCTGTTACTACAAATATTAACTTTTTTTGGATTTTATTTTTACAATGTAATGTTGAATAATGCATCTTCAAACTGGTGTCTCAAACTTACTGCCAACTTTTCTCGTTCAGGAAAAATTGCCACTTATTTCCCAACCAAGTATTCCAAAGTAAAACTGCTCAACTTTAACTGGCTGTACTGGAAAAAATCTACTACGAGAGTTTGGCAAGTAACCTTAAAAGTTGGCGCATTTAATAACGATTCCAAAATGGTATAACACTTAGAAGATTACTCGTTAACTTATGCACAATTTTTATTTGAAAAAAAACTGATGAAACTTTTTCAAAATTTCCTAATTAAACAGCGATTATGAAAACGCACAAGGACCCTTAAGGATAACTGTTTGCACAACAGTGGGCGTCAAAATGCTGCTGATGATGATTTACCTTTACAGCAAATGCTCAAACTGTTTTCCTTCAGCCGCAATACACGCTCGACATCTTCTTAAAAAAGATCGGGTTATTAAACGAGCGAATCCACGGTTATTAACAAACTCAGCTGCTTCCAATAGTCTTTGCCGTAGCTCAGCTACATTTTGAATCGGCTTGAAATACACTTTTTCTTTTACAGTTCCCCAGTAAAAAAATCTAAAGCATTCAAATCAGGTGATCGGGCTGGCCACGGTATTGTACCAGACCGCCTTATCCATCTGCCTGGAAAGTTTTGATCGAGATACTCTCTCACTGAGAGTGCATAGTGCGCTGGGCAGCCATCATGCTGAAACCACATGTCCCTGTAAATACTCAGTGGCACGTCCACCAATAAATTTTGTACATGATTTTTCAAAAAATCCAAATAAACTTCAGCAGTCAAAGTCTCTGGGAACTCAAACGGACCGATTATTTTACCATTTAAAATTCCTGTCCAATGGTTTATCTTGAAGCGATATTGAGATTTATCTTCTCTCATCAAATGCGGGTTTGCTACGTGCCACTCGTGTAAGTTATGCAGGTTCATGTACCCATATTTCTTAAATGTGGTCTCATCCGACCATAACATTTTTTCAAAGAACTGTGGATCTTTCCTGTGTCTTTCTAACATTGTGCGACAAAAAGCAACTCGGGGCTCATAATTCCGGGGCAGGAGAGGTTGAACACGCTGTATGTGGTATGGATGAAGCACATCACTTACTTGCTATTGCACACTTTGATACCGATCAGTACTCCTTCGTTTACTGCGCATCTTTACATGTTCGTGCTTGTTGATTTCGTACTGTTACTAATTTTGGATTCGTGAACTGGACTGTTGATCGCTTGTGATTTGGATTTGGACTGTTTAATTGCTCTTCAAAACAGCATTTGCTTTCCTTAGACTATCTTTGATAGTGTGATTGTGCAGCGCCGCTATGTCCGTGTACACCGTACAAGAATATGCTAACATGCACCTCATTTATGGGGAATGCAGATGCAACGCTAGTGCTGCAGCGAGACTTTACTGCGAGAGGTACCCGAAGGCAGCTCGTCATCCAGATCATCGAGTGTTCACAAATGTGCACCGCTTACTGTTCTCAGAGGGCCAACTACCAAACCAATCACACGGTGAGGGAAGATCTTTCCTTCCTTACGAAGACGTGGTGCTAGGAGCTGTCGAAGAAGACCCGAGTACTTCAGTGCGTGCAATAGAACTAAAAACAGGTGTGCCGAAAAGTACAGCCCATAGAATCTTGCAAAAAAACGTGCTCCATCCATACCACGTACAGCGTGTTCAAGCTCTTCGTCCCCGGGATTATGAGCCCCGAGTTGCTTTTTGTTGCACAATGTTAGAAAGACACAGGGAAGATCCACGGTTCTTTGAAAAAAATTTATGGTCAGATGAGACCACATTTAAGAAAGATGGGTACATGAACCTGCATAACTTACACGAGTGGCACATAGCAAACCCACATTTGATGAGAGAAGATAAATCTCAATATCGCTTCAAGATAAACCATTGGACAGGAATTTTAAAAGGTAAAATAATCGGTCCGTTTGAGTTCCCAGAGACTTTGACTGCTGAGGTTTATTTAGGTTTTTTGCAAAATCATTTAGAAAATTTATTGGAGGACGTGCCACTGAGTATTTACAGGGACATGTGGTTTCAGCATGATGGCTGATAATCGCTGTTTAATTAGGAAATTTTGAAAAATTTTTATCAGTTTTTCTTCAAATAAAAATTGTGCATAAGTTAACGAGTAATCTTCTAAGTGTTATACCATTTTGGAATCCTTATTAAATGCGCCAACTTTTAAGGTTACTTGCCAAACTCTCGTAGTACATTTTTTTCCAGTACAGCCAGTTAAAGTTGAGCAAAGTTTTACTTTGGAATACTTGGTTGGGAAATAAGTGGCAATTTTTCCTGAACGAGAAAAGTTGGCAGTAAGGTTGAGACACCAGTTTGAAGATGCATTATTCATCATTACATTGTAAAAATAGAATCCAAAGAAAGTTAATATTTGCAGTAACAGGAGTTGACAGACTGCCGTAGGGTGTGAAATTTTTATATTTTTTTTCAAAGACCTTTAATTTTCAAAACACATACATCAAATTTTTTTAAATATTTTTCTGGTAGCTGTTATGACTTTGCCTATCACCCGGTTTCGGCTTGACGTCGACTTCTGGGACACCCTGTATATCTAAGTGTCACTTTCACAAGCTGCAACTAATGTGACCTTTTTATTTCATTATTTATCTTATGTCTGCTCATTTTTTCAGTACAACAAAGTGTCGTCTCTACAAACCCATTGGATTTCCCAAGCATGTGCAAAACAACGAATGGGTAGAGCGGGTAGAACTAGACCCGGTTTATGTTTTAGACTGTATTCTCAACAGCGGTACGAGAGTATGGAGGAAGAAAGGGTTCCAGAAATATTGAGAGTTTCCTTAGAGGTCAGACACATTCAATTTATACAAGTAGAAATAATAAAATGTTGACGGAAAGCTGAAAGGATAACAAACCCCTTCCTGAAAAGGATGGGCCCTCATAAGGGGGTGTTTTGATCCGAAAATGAGTCATTTCACAGTATTGCATTTAAACGTTTCAGAAGATGTGTATTTTGTGCATATATCAACATTTTTATTTTTATTGTAGTTTTGATTATTCTTTGAAAGTTTCGAATTTCGCAATTTTGGTATTTTTTGTCTAAACTTTCGACGATATTAGTATTCTAATCTGAAAGCATGGTGCAACAATCTTCACTACTTCAGATCCATAATTAAACACGCTGAAACCCATATTATATGGGGCGCTGCGTTCACAATAAAAACAAAAGTTGAAGTTTCAATATTTATTTATCCATCCGGTTGTCGAGATTAGACAGACATTAGTACGACTTTAATCGATCCTTACTGATTTTAAATCTACTTTTTTTCAGGAACTATGCCTGCACACAAAGGTCCTCGCCCCCGAGGGCACTTCAATCCACTCGTTCCTCACTAGTGCCCCTGACCCACCTTCTGCCAACTCCATCAAGGTTGCCATCGAAAATTTGCAGTTCCTGGGCGCGTTGGACAAAGAGGAGGACCTCACCAGCCTCGGCGAATACCTGGCGCAGCTCAGCATTGAGCCTCACTTAGGGAAGATGCTGCTGTATGGAGTGATCTTTAGGTGCTTGGACCCTGTATTGACGTTGGCGGCTGCCATGGCGCACAAGTAAGTTAATTTGTTTTTTCTTTGCGTTAAAAAAACTGTATTAATCCGTTTAGTAGAACTGGAAAAAGTCTCTCCAGGTAGATTGTTTCACAACCTCGATAAAGGGAAGTCGTATTGGCCTGTTTTGGATGTATGAAGTTTGACACGGCTAGGAGTGATGAGGTTATATAGCCCTAAACATATGAAGGGTACCGGGAAAAAACGGCATTAGTCCATTATTTTACTAAATTGAGCTTTCAGTTTATTTTGGTGGCATTTTCCTGATGCTATCTTGTAATCAGCTTCTTAAATTGTAAAAAGGGCTTAGGTTCACAAAACAACAGCTATAAGATTTCCTGTGCCGGGGAAGAATGGCATGAGTCCGCGTGTATGGAAAAACGGCATCAGTCCATATGGAAAGGCGGCGTTGTATCGGCCGTACCTACCTGAAAATCTAAATATCGAAAAATTACAAAAAATGTATTCTATTGGCAATGTTGAAAACAAGATTTCCTATGATTCCTTCTGAGAAATCTTTGAAAACAACTCTTCAATATATCGTTCGGTTATCCACGAAAAGATACTTGTAGCACGTGTGATTCCTTAAAAGCTGATATATCTTCACTTACCGCTACCTTAAATTCCCACACGGAACAAACTAGGCAGTCAGCAAGTAATAATTTGGAGAAAAAGATACTTGAGAAGACACTACATCAAAAAAGGAGTGAACGATTTTACAGTCTAAAGAGAACTTACCGCAAATGTGCCTCGAAGTTCCCCGCTATCGAAAGTATCACGATGGATTACCAAAAAAACTTGCCCTGTCCAAATATCACGACAAATGATGTTTACTATAAGCGGCAACTAAATTTCATCAGTTTCAACATACATATTCTGTCAAACTCAAATTCTCTTTTATACCTGCGATGAATCTATTGCTAAGAAAGGAGCTGACGATGACTGTTCTATGCTGTATCACTTTTTTATAACATCCTGCCTATGTATGTAAAAGAACTTGCCATTTTCTGTGACTCCTGTGCAGAGCAAAATAAAAACTTTACAGTTATTCGGTTTTTGCATTACTTGGTTACCAAGAAAAATCGTTCTACTACTGTGAAAGAAATATTCCCGATCATGGGGCATTCATACCTCGAGTGTGATAGAGATATGAGTCTCGGGAACCAAAGAGCATACGCTGAGGTACCGAATGACTGGAGAGATGAATTGAAAAATTGCCGTGTGAAACCTACTCCATTTGAAGTCATTGAAGGTGGCAAAAATTTTGATTTTCAAGATTGGAGTACATTTTTATCGCCGTTTTATCCAACAAAGTGCCCCATTCCAACCCGACCAGTCAGGATGCTCAAGTTTTGTAAACAGAATCCTCGCGTAGTTTTTCACAAATCGACATACATGGGCCTATATGCTAGTTCTAAATTTGATAAGGTAATTCGGAAGAATCTAAAAAAGTCGAGTATACCTCCCTACTATAGATCCCTCTAGTATTTGTAAAATGAGTTGAAAATGTGATGGTAGTAATGTAAAATCGAATGGTATATGGTGTTAGAAGTGCAAACATTTTTATACACAACTCGCACATTATATTCTTCGCCATTATGCGTCTCAGGTTATAAAAGTTCGCTTTAGTTCCTTAGTATACTGAAACATGTGCAATGTTTTTGCAGTTTAAGTATTTTTGTATTCCAAGTAAGTCGTTTCTCTCGCTGTTTTTAGAGATCCTTTCCAGCTACCGCCTCAGGCAAATTTAAAAACACATGCTGCCGAAAAAAGAAAGGAGCTCATACAAGACATAACGAGTGATCATGTGCTGTACCTGCAAGTGTTCAAAAAATGGCAGGTAAGAGCTTCATCCTGCTCTTCCCTTGTCACACTTGTCACACCCGTAAAATAAACACAATTATTTTGGATATCGTCCTTATATTGTCTGATAACTTTTGCTGGCAGCTAAGTAAAACCAAACATGCTTGAAACACTGTGTCATCAGAATTGTCAATTGTACTTGAAAAAGGCTAACATGGTTTCCGATGCCTCGTCACTAAATAGTATTTCAAGCGTATGTGGTTTCATTTAGCAGCCATACTAACATTAAGGATTGAATGTAATGTGAAGTACGAAAAGATCCAAAATATCGCGATAAGAAAGACCATTCCATTTTGTTGAAATATACTCGGTAACATTAGAAGTGTTAGAGGGCGGTCCACTCGTCCTTTTTCAGCAAGACAACGCGCGTCCCCATATTGCTCGTCGTACTACGGACTTTCTTCAAGAAGCAGGCGTTAACGTTTTGACGTGGCCACCCCATTCACCGGATTTAAGTCCCATCGAACATGTGTGGGATATGATGGGGAGGAGACTATCCACTTTGCACCATCCGCCACAGCAAATCCACGAAGTTCGAGTTTTTTCTTATACCGTGTCAATAATGTTTCGTGAGAATGTTTCATTGTTTCATTCTTGTTGGAAGACTACCTCATTGCCAAAAAATTAAGTCGAAGAAATTATTTTTTTCTGGGTTGTAACACTTCTAATGTCACTGAGTAAATTACAATGTTCTAGGAAAGTTGTTGCAATGGCAGAGTGCATGCTTTTTGCAACCAATATTACATAAGCCACCCTACGATGAACTCCATACTGGAGACCCGCAGCCAGCTTTTGGGACAGCTGAGATCCATCCGATTTGTACACCAGTCTAGTTCGGTGGAACAGTATAACCGACATGCTGACTGTTGGCCGCTAATCAAAGCCATCATCTGTACAGGGTGCTATCCAAACTTGGCGTTTCCTCTCAAGAATAGCTTGGCTACCAGGTAATATTCATGTTCATTTTTTTGCATTTACTGCAAATACTGATTCTTCCTTCATTTTAAGGTTTCTCTTGTCGTGTATCGGCTTAATGATGCTGAAATCTTGATGAAAACACATAGTGAGTGACATGTCAGAACGCTGAAAGCTCATTTTTACTTCCTATGCGTCTGGGCGATGTAGCATTGTAATCGTAAAAAAATTCGTAAACGAAATATGTATTGTCTTTTAGATGTTATATGACATGTACATCACTCCAAGTCACTCATTGCTGTCGGTTACTTGTAAGGAAGATCGACAATAATTTTGACATTTATATTCAGAAGGTGAAATGAGATTTTGTATTTTGTCAGGACCGAGAAGAAGGTGAACGTGCAAGCGAGCAGCGCATGCAATAGCAAAACGATCTCAACTTGGCTAGTCTTCGACGAGATGATCAAGCATCGGAATCATCTGTTGATCAGAGGAAACTCCGCTGTGACCACAATGACAGTTGCTTTGATGTGCGGTAACGACATCATTACCCCCACTGCTACTACGTTGAGCATCGACGATTGGTTGGAATTCGAGTTCCCAAAGCCGGTCTACGTTACTTTCAGGCAGTCATTGGAACATCTAATAAATGTAAGTTTTCCTCTCAGAAAAATTTAATCAATTATTATTTTCCTGACATTAGTTTTTGTATTGCCGCAATAAGCACTCGTCAGGGTCGGTATTCTTGTTCTCCGAATCGCATACCGCCTTTAAGTAACTGAGCAAAAATATGACGTAATTTGGAAGCGTTTTAAATAATAATAAAACATCTTTTTTGGTACAAACGATGAGATTTTCAGGAAAGTTTGGGTGTTAATCTATTTTTTGTTGGTCGTGATCTAAGAGCTTGTTAGACTTTGGACCCTCTATTTTGCGAAATAAATCTTTTTGATCTGCCTTTTTTATCAATAGCAAAACTGTTTTTCGTTATATTAGGGTTGATTTTGTGTGACATATGGTTAGATGTACCGAGAAGATAAAAATATACTACTGGTTTTTATTACACAGGGAAAACCAAAATATGTTTGACGGCTTGAGTTCAGTGTGTACGAGAGTGAAGCGCGAGAAGTGTGTATCAACACATGTTAGAAAGAGATAGAAGCCGGCTGAACAGAGAAGGTCATCACCACATTGCCTAGCGACGGTGACGCAGAAGGTCGTGCAATCTGCAGCGTTGACAATTATGTTACACCAGTAAATGTTCGCAAAAAAAAACGTTTGGAAGCAGGACGACACTCCCCAAAATCGCTCATCTATGATCATGGAGGTGGAAACCTTGCCTTGACATGTACGAGATGCAATGTTGCCAGGCGAACCAATGATGCAATGTTGCAGAATTTGTGGCGATCCTCACCATTCATTTCGACCTAATATGGAGCGCCATTGACCTAATATGGAGCGCCATTAGGTCCGATCCGGAATCGATCTTAAAACCATTATTTGGGTGTAGAGGATAAACTCGACGCATATTTTGATCATGCTTCTATCTCTTTCTCACTAATGTTTCTAGAAACTTTTCTCTCTCGTACTTATTGAACTCAAGTAGTCAAGCAAATTTAGTTCTCCGTGTATGTATAACACCGTAAAGCACTTCAGCCAATGTTTGTTGATTATATTCCAAAAGCTTATGGATTTACTGTGAGATACTGGAGATTTCTGTAACTCTTTTAGTAGCTTGATCCTCATCATCAAATTCACATTGACTGCTTGGAATTCAAGTTTGAGGATAATCGCTCAGCTTTCAATTGCTGTCCTACCTGGGACCAATCGTAGACCATGCTGATGAGTTCCCAAAAAGCACGAAACAACTACTCATGCTTGACCGTCTGTGGTCGGAAATACGAAAGCTATATTACTAGCTTATTACATCTGTAGTCTAGAGAGCAGACTTGAAAAATATGTACTCAGTTTTATTCCTTCACAAAGTTATCCATAAATTTGGAGCAACTTAACTTTTTCATTCCTAGATTAGCGTCAATAGTGCCAAATTTTCCTTAGGCCGGCCTAGGACTGGCATGCTTACGTTTTCTCTTATGCATACGATGTGCCGTAATTACAATTCATTTAATAGGGTTTTTCATGTTCGTCGACTTTGGGAGACATTAATACTGATTTTTTTAATGTTTGAATCTTCTTGGTTTAAGCTGGAATGTTTTATTGTGAGAGTTTTCAACATTACCGCTTTATCTACAACATATCCTGCGCGTATATGCGTTGTTTTTATTTTCATGTGTATCCACCCTGTAATTGGCTCTGTTAAATGAATGAAAAATAATCAAAATATTAAATTCCTTAACAGAGCGTACTGATTGACCCACCACACAACTATACATCATTTGACAACATGTTGGTCGACACATTGAGAAACATTTTGGATGCAGAAGAAATCGAGGCTGACTTAAAGGTAAAAAAATTCTTATAAATGATTACATTCACAGTATTTTGATAATTTTTAACAATATCGGATGTTACCATAATTCATTCCATTAATGGTGGATTTTCCAAAATAGCAAGATTTTGCCTTAAAAAAGTATATTCTGAGTGTTTTCGCTTTCTTTCTATTGAATAGAAATTACAAATCACGCACACATTTCTAGCATGACTTAATAATTTTTCCCGCTCTGTTCTTAGAAACATGTACTTCTGCCATAAAGATTGGGCTATCGTTAGATGGGAGGAAGATAATATTCGTTGTAACGTTAGGATTCAAATGGATTCCGTTAAATGACGTTTTGCAAATACATTCTGCTTGAAAATGGATTTAAACTGTCCATTTTAGCTATTATGAATAACGTTTTGTTTAGGTCGTCCCTATTGCAATACATCCGTAGTTGCAGGTACAGTAGCGGACAAAAGTTTGGAAACAAATATAAACATTATTATGAACTATTTCATATACCTAAATTAAAATTGTGAAGGAACAGAATATAAATATTAAAGTCTACCTTTGGCTCCCATACTAATACAAGATTTATCTTATCAATATTCAAATTCTCTGAAAAAAAACACGCATTTTTGTGACGACAAAAGTATTGAAACTTTTCAGTTATGCCGTATTTATTCGTTCTGCGTGCGGTAAATATTAACATCAGTGAGAATGGCAAATTTCGAATATTATTAGTAAATATCAAGGATACGGATCAACAACAACGCGACCTAGGTGCGGAAGACCGAAAAAAAAACGATTATGTTTTGGATCGCTACATTAACCGTTTGTCCCATGAAGATCCTCGAATGCCAGCCACACAGATTTTCAAAACAATCGTAGATAGTGCCGAGAATCTTTCTGTCGGAACAGTGCAGAAAATGCTTGGGCTTCTTGGTAGGCGTCCAGTGCAAAAGCCTCTCATTTAAAAAAAAAAAACAGTATCAGCTGCCAACAGTTGAGCACGGTGGAGGCAACATCATGGTTTGGGCCTGTTTTTCTAGTTCTGGAACGGGTCCAATATTGTTAAAATTTTTGGGAAAATGGATCAAAAACTCCACAAAGATATTCTTACTTGACACATGCCCCCTTTTGCTGAAGAACAAAAGCCTTTACGAGATAATGACCGCAAGCATGCCTCAAAATTCGTAAAGGACTGGTTAAGACTAAAAAATGTTAATGTTCTTACATGACCTTCGCAATCCCCGGACCTAAACCCTATAGAACATATCTGGGAGCACGTTAAAAGACAACTGACAAGAAAAACTTTAAAAAATAGGATCGATTTATTTGATTGATTGAAAAAATATTTGGCAAAATATTCCAACATACGTCTGTAAAAAAATGGTCTCTTCTATGAGCAGCAGATATCGGACAGTGTTGAATGCTAAAGGCTATGCTACCAAATATTAGCTAAAATAATATGAAGGTATTTTAATGCTAGTTTGTAGTACCACAGCAAACACAAAGTATCAGTTGTATCCTCAAGACTGTAAGTAAACTATATGAGAAAAAAAATAGTCCTTAATAATAAAGAATAAAAAATTAGCACACTTTTTAAAAATTACTAAGAATGTTTCCAAACGTTTGTCCGCTACTGTAGTTGCCTATCATTATACTGGATACAAATATCCCTATAATTTTTTGAAAGCGCCATCATCGAAGTAATCTATTTCAACAGGTTCCGGAAAGTGTTGGACGCCGACCGAAATTCTTTTGTCCTCAAACCGGTGTCGTGAGTCCTTCAGCAGAACATTGGAGGGAAAGGAATGGTCGTCACGTGAGAGGTGGGCGCGGTGGAAGAGGAGGAAGAGGAGTTTACCCACCACCACATTTGCAGAGATATCCTCCTAAACAGCATCAACAATACCGCGGGTAAAAGTTCAATGCATATTCCTAGCGCCCCAATTTATAGTTGTTAATCAAATGTTGAGTGCTACCTTAAAGCTGAGTGGTGCTTTAATGGATTCCCGAACATACTTAAGACTGACTTAAGAAGAGGTTTGACGTCGGCTGGATTTCAATGGGGGACTATGAACTAATGAACTAACAACTAATTATCTGGGTCTGTTTGATTTAATCATTTTGTTATACACGTTCGTAGCTATCTTTTTTCTCAAAGGAGATACCTTGCGACAAAATAATCCTTTATGAACTTTCGAAAATGTTTTTTGGATTTTACATGTCATGTACATCTCGAAAAGTCATGTCACTGATTTCCATGTCTGTCTGTTCGCTAGTTTTATAACCGCCTATAACTTGAAAAGTACTTCGCGGGTTTTTATGCAACATTTACTACTATGCCAGTGGCGAAAAAGCTTTGCAGTTTTTGAAAATATGTCCAGTGGTGGCGGAGAAAAAGTGCAAAAACGAAAAAAATAATACCTCAAACTTCTTTTTTTGACGTTAGAGGATCTTATCATTTTTGAGCCAATTTTTAGATATAAAAAATTTAGAGTAGGTTTTTTTAATGTTAGTATGTTTATACGCTCCCAACCTTAGGCGCTTAAAACTTATAAACATTTTCTCAGCAGACGGATCGTTCTGGTATGGTATTACCGTTATTTGTGCATAGTTGTTCCTATGCTCTGATCGCGCTGCCACATCCGACAGGATTGAATATCGGAGAGAGGCGACGTTACCAGATGGCCTACCGGTAGGCAGGGGACAATGTCTATGGACTAATATGTTTCTCCTTAGGCCTGAAAGCGATAAGCCGAGTACAAGCTATTCCAGACCCATGTGCAACTCGATGGATGCTTTGCAAATATCATCAGCTTCCTTACCTAGCCCATCAGATAGACTTCTAAACGGTATAGTGGGGAACAACTGTTCGACACCAAGAGAAACTGGAAGCAGTAGATCCGTAGGTCAGAATAACTGGTCGGTATCAAGTGAAGCTGGAAGCAGTAGATCCGTAGCTCAAAATAATTGGTGGTCGGCAGGTTCTGGATCCTCGGCTGGACCTAGCAGGTAATATTAGATACTTGCAATCTTGCAAAGCTCATAATTCGTACATAACAATTTAAATCTAGTATAATTGCGATCGTTTTGGTAACTTTTTCTTCATACTGATTTAACACCTCTACAGTCAAAATTAGTTCTAATGAAAAAACTGTCCATGAATGCGACATTACTGCAATATATTTCTTCCGCAATCTGCTAAATAAATGACCACTTCGTATATGGACACTAAAAACGTGTATTTTTGATATTACATGGACGCTAAATGCTTCGTGTTGACAACTTGTTGTTGCGCAGTTATGAATAACGAATATGATGTCACTGTGGCTCGACATCGTGGCCGTGGGGTTATGCTCTCCATTAAAAAAATCCATGCTACCCTGGCTAGGAAGTATAGTAATCGCGAAGAATTTGTTACTATGTTCATCACTTATTTTCGTCTGTCTAACGATCTATTCGCTAATCCTTGGGAAGTATCGGTCGGATTTTGATGAAATTTTCACACAAAGTTACTATTGTGCCAGGACGAAAAATCTTCGTAGTTTTTTAAAATCGGTTCAGTGGCGGCGGCCCTACAAGCAAAAAATAAATTACTACTACTTACGCTTATACTTTGTTTTTCTACGTTTCAGAAGATCCTGGTCATATTTGAAAAAATGTTTAGAGGAAAAATTTGGGGGTGGGATGTTGAGGGGGGGAGGGAATTAATACATTTACAACCTTGATAATTCTAAACTCTTAATAGACATATTTCACACACTACATGTTTCCCCGTACACTTGTACTTGTACACTGTAAAACTTGGAAAAATCTGTTTCCAGACGGATCGTCTATCGGTCGCATATGCTGTGCGCCGTATTGCATCTTTTGTATTCGATATTATATATATATATACAGGGTGTTTCAGTTTATTGTTGCATAACTTTAAGATTCGATAGAACTTTTAAAATTAATGCATATAAACATGGGTCGAAAAATGCGTGGCTTCCGAAATACACGGTGTTTAAGTTTACTTTTTAAAATAGTTTTTTTTTTAAATATTTCGAACAATATTTGATGTATAACAGTGAAAATTGGTATACAAGCGTTTTTTGGTCCGCTAGATGGCGCTCTCTACTGTACCTGTAGTGTATTAAAATGACCGACAATTTTTTCTTAGTGCAATTTTTTGCTTTTTGAATAAAAAAACAGATTTTTCGCACTTTTCTGCATAAAAAAGCTATCCTGTGAGTTTTCGTTATAGTTAGCCGTTTTTGAGATATTTCGATTTTTAAGGTTCGATGCATTTTTAATTATTTATGGGAAAATAATATTTTTTTTACATTTTCGATTTGGGCATTACAAGTAATTAAGATGATCGTTTAGATTGTGTTTTTAAACACAGCAATAATTCCTAAGTCCAAATAAACACAAAATAACAGAATATTAATTTGTTTAATTTTCCAATATTATTTTTAACAAATTAAATTAATTATTTACAATTAAAATGCTATTGGATAGTTAGGACAAACATACAAAATCTAAAGTAGTTGCTCGAAATGTAAACCCAATTGTTCAATACACAATTCACATCTACGAATGATCGAACGTGGTATAGCATTATTCAAATAAGGCCTTATTTCATCACATGCATTCCTGATTCTGTCTATTAGCATATCTCTTGTGGTTACGGGAGTCTGGTACACTTTTTCTTTTAGAAAACCCCACACAAAGAAATCTAATGGATTTAGGTCAGGGGATCGTGGAGGCCAGGCGACTGGTCCTCCACGGCCGATCCATCTTTCTGGATAATTTTCGTCCAGCCAGTTTCTAACTATTCGCGAATAATGAGCTGGACAACCATCAAGCTGGAACCAGGCCAATCTTCTTAAATCTAACATAAGATCATCCCACATATTTGCATGTTCAGCCTTTAAAAATGCCAAGAAGCTCGCAGCATTTAACCTTGCAGGCAAAAGGTAGGGTCCAAATAGTCGATTACGGTAGATACCAATCCACACGTTCACACTAAATTCATGCTGAAAATTTCTTTCCCGAACTGCATGCGGATTTTCATGCGACCAAATATGTTGATTATGAAAATTTACCACTCCACGTCTAGTGAAGCATGACTCATCGGTCCATAAAACGTTACTTAAAAACTCCCTATTATTATCAGTTCTATCAAGAATCCACTGACAAAATGTGATTCTTGGTTCTCCGTCCCCTGGCTTTAGTCCTTGCACAGGTTGCAAATGGTAAGGACGTCTATGGTCATTTCTAAGAACACGGTGAACATGGCTTGCTGAAATTCCCAAGGCACCAGAAACTCTCCTAACACTTGTGGTCGGATTCTATCAAACTCACGCAGAATCATACGGGTAAATCTGCGCTGACGAACATTTATGTTTTGAACCCTTTGGAGATTTTCAAAACCATTTTCAATTATTTGGCGATGCACTCTTACAAATACTGAGCGAGTTGGATGTCGTCTGTTTGGAAATCTTCGTGCTTATTCTCTGGCTGCTTCTGTTGCGTTTCCATTTACAAAGCCATGCACAAAATGAATATCCGCTAACTCTTGATTGGAGAATAAAAATGGCATTTTTATAAAACTTGCAAAAAAAAACAGGTAAAAGAAACTAAATTTCTTGCATTCACAATTGCAAAAAAACGTTTCAGGTTTCAACAGACAACAAAACTAACTGTCAACTAATTGACGTTTAACCTTATTCTGCTTTCAATTTCAAAAGTATTTGCAGGCACAGCCTACTTCTAAAAATTATCGAGATACTGACTTTTTAACGTTAATTTATCATAAATAATTAAAAATGCATCGAACCTTAAAAATCGAAATATCTCAAAAACGGCTAACTACAACGAACATTCACAAGAGAGCTTTTTTATGTTGAAAAGTGCGAAGAATCAGTTTTTTTATTCAAAAAGCAAAAAATTGCACTAAGAAAAAAATTTCGGTCATTTTAATACACTACAGGTACAGTAGAGAGCGCCCTCTAGCGGCTACAGTAAAACTATGCCCATGGTTCGTTTTGTCGTACCAAAAAACCCTTGTATACCAATTTTCACTGTTATACATCAAATATTGTTCGAAATATTTAAAAAAAAAACTATTTTAGAAAGTAAATTTTATGGATTAATTTTAAAAGTTCTATCGAATCTTAAAGTTATGCAACAATAAACTGAAACACCCTGTATATATATGAGCTTTATGCTTGAATGTAATTCAATGATTATTGCTTGACGTATTTGTTTTTAGCATTATATTGCATGTCACGTGCAAGATCGCAGTCGAACATTTTTACAAAAATTTGAATTTTGGAAGTCTTCACAGCTTATAGTGCCACAAACAGCAGACATTTCACCCATTAATGTATTGATTTATTTGTCATATGAAATTAGATTGATAGCTTGTTATGGAAGTGTTGGCTACTGGAACAGTTGCGAGCTTATTCGTATGTCTTAATTCATTTTTATTAAGGGTTTAAATATGATTTCAGGTACTATTCCCCGGAACGATTTGGAGATTATCAAGACGACAATATATTTATACTTATTAAACCTAAGCAGCGAAAAAATGTAGAGATAGCGCAATGGTCCTTAAAGTGGATTTTTGCTCCACAGACTGAGAAGAAAATATTATATTATAGTAGTGTAAGTAAATCTTCATATTTATTCTTTATTACTTTCTTTTGTGTCCAGCTTTAGGCATCATTACCATTGAACATACACTTTTGCCAATTAAAATTTTACCTTAGACTTTTTTTTGCAGTTAAGAAAACCTGTCTACCTGGTATTCACAGTGTACAATACGTTTGCCTTCCAAGGAGTGGCTCGCTACTTGAATATTTTCAGCGAACCGTCGGGAAAGCCAACGGCTCAAATTGAGTGGATCTACAAAATGGATTTGCCTCATTTGAATGTCAGGTAAGATATACCGGGTGTTTCAAATTCAACCCTCACCATTGAGATCTCGGAAACGGTAGGAGATACGAAGACGTCGAAATGCCGCTTAGAAAGTTTCGAAATTCAAAGTACTTCCTGAGAGAGACGGAAAAAACCGTATTTTCTCTAAATCGCTGAATTTTTCTCCTGAATTTGTTTCTGGTGGGATTTTAAAATAAATTACACGTTAACATGATTGGGAGGTATATAAAACTCTTAGGAATAAATGTGTATCTGTAATTAGAGAAGAAAAAAGGAAATTCTACGATAAACAAATCGATAATAACAAGTGCGACAGTGTAAAGATGTGGAAGACTTTAAAAAGACTGATCAATTCGAAGCCGCATGATTGTGTAAATCAAGTTCAATTCGAAAACGGTACCGAAACAAATTCTTTGGTGATTGCAAACAAACTAAATGAATATTTTGTGGAAAGTATTGTTCATATTGTGGGTACTGCCAATGCTGCACCTGACTATATGCAAATCAGTTTCCTAGGGGAAATGTTGCATACAATTTCAAAATTTCACAGCGTATCATTGAATTATCTAAGAAAAAAGTAAACAGTTTAAAATCAACTAACAACTGTGCCGAAATCACTACTAAAAACGTGCTGAAAAACTGTTTCGAAATTTTGGGATATCCTGTATTAAATGGGATCAATTGTTCACTGAGAAGCAGTTCTTTTCCTGAAAATTTGAAATGCTCTACAACAACACCAGTTCCCAAAATAAAAAATTCTAAAAGATGCAGCGATATGAAACCAGTAAATGTGTTACCAGACATTGAAAAATTATTAGAGTCCATAGTGCATGACCAATTAATGCAATTTATAGAAGAAAACAAAATTTTAGTGGAAGCGCAAGCAGGCTTTCGAAAAAAATATTCCACAGAAACAGCTTTCCAGTTGGTAACTGAGAATTGGAGAAGAGCCATAGCCTCAGAAGAAGTTGTCATAGCAGTATTTTTGGATTTGAAGAGGGCATTTGAAACGATTGATAGAGATATTTTGTTAGATAAATTGAAGGCATATGGTATAACAGGAAGTGTTTTAGATTGGTTTAGAAATTATTTGTCTAAAAGGATGCAAGACACTATTTCATCAAAAATTGAAAATACGTTGGGTGTTCCACAGGGCAGTATCCTGGGACCACTTCTTTTTATTTTATACATAAATGATTTACCTGCCATAGTCAAAAAATGCAAAATTCAGATTCTCGCCGATGACACTATGATTTATATAAGTACTAAAAATATTCAGTCTGGTATCTCTTATATAAATGAAGACTTGAAGCTTGTCTCAAAATGGTTAGCATCTAACAGACTAAAATTAAATGCAAGTAAAACGAAAGCCTTGTTAATCGGAAAAAACAATGTACAAATGTTCAGCTGAATATTGATGGTGAAGATATTGAATTCGTAGACAATTTTAAATACCTGGGAGTTTTTGTTGACTCTCGATTAATTTTTGATATTCATTATGAAAAATTTATAAATAAGATTAGTAGTAAAGTGGGATATTTATCGAGAGTTTCTGGATGTCTGAGTTCATATAGCAGAAAAATTATCTATAATACCATCATTCTTCCAAATTGCTTGTACTGTTCGACTATTCTATATTTAGCAAATAATTCCATTTTTGAAAGACTGCAAATTTTACAAAATAAGTGCATGAGAATAATACTAAATAAAGATAAATATACTCCAATTAGGCAAATGCGTAGCAAATTAAAATGGCTCAATGTAAAATTTTTTATCAAATATCTTGTAATGATATTCATTTATAAAGCAAAAAATAATATATTTCCATCAAGTCTAACTAATTTAACATCATCAAATGTCGACCATCATTTACATAATACCAGAAATAAAGATGACTTCCATTTAATGACCAAAAAGTATAACATATGCTGCAAATCTGTATTCCATCAAGGGTTGATCGAATATCATAAATTATACTCGGAGATAAAAAACCAGAAAACTTTGACAAAATTTAAAGTAAAATTGAGAAATCACTTGTTAAATCTACAATTATAGGTTGCCCAGCATTTACATCATACACATATATGGCTTGAATTGACTAGTTCTAAGTTGTTTACAATTATTCTGTTTATGTAGCCAAATGAGCTAAATAAATCTTTCTGCTACTACTACAACATGGTCACTTTTTCTCTTCGACAAGATGGCATAATTAGAATTTCAATATGTCGTTTCGTCTCTGCCCTCCAGCATCAACTTTATTTTTTCTTAACACGTTCACTGCGAAAGACGCTGATCCGCGTCCGACCGATGTTTAACGAAAGGCGGCGGGCGCGGATCCGCGCTTCTGGCTGACATAAACTCACAAGACTGTGGTGTTGTCAGTTTGTACCGCACTCGCTTTCTGTTTGGTCACCTACATATTGAACATCTTTTTGGACTACTTTACGCTTAGGATCAAGTTTCGTTTATTTTTACATTGCGCAATGGCGGATGATGTGGAAGCAGGTTGTTCACGTCCAAAATGAGTGAAAACGTATTGTAACCGTAATAAAGGGCTTACAGAAAAAGAACTGTATGATATTCTTGCCAATTCGGGGAGTGAAATCGAGAATCTAAGTGACTCAGACAATTATGTTCCCAGTTCAGATGAAAGTGAGCAGTCTGATGGAAATATGTCTGAAACGAGTGATGATTTTTCCAGCCCACAGAAAAATCTTTAATAGGGTTTCAAGACATGTTTCGTGTTACTGCACGAAAAAAAAACGAGATAGAAGAAGAAAATGTATATATGAAATAGTTTTTTTTCAATTACACAACGCACATCCAATAGGCTTACGACGCGAATCCGCGCTTCGCTTGTGCAGCGCCTAAAATCGTTTAGCCGCTACCGCGCGCGCGGCGCGAGGCAGGTCGCAGCGAACGTGTTAAGGACGCCATATTAAACGTGTGTACAAAATCTCAGCTTAATTACTTACTGCTTTGTCCCACACATACTAACACATCTTGTTAAATAAAAGCTTGTAAAAGTGGAATATTTGAAGGAAGAAACATTGGACCTCTTTTCACAGGCATCTAAGGAATCCTTACAACGATAGCAAGCCAATCTTCGATGGCCTGGATGGCCAAGTGATCAAAGAAGACGTAGCAGAGGAGCTTATGCGAATTTATCAAGGTGCAGTGCAATCAGTGGCAACACTACCCAATTCTAGCAGATGCTAATTTTTATATGCTACACAGACTGCGCTTGTGGTATACCAAAATAGATACGTACAATATAACCGATTTTTTAACACATATGAAATATTTGCTGCACTTTTTTATTCTTCCTATGATTTTCTTTTTACTGGCTGATACAAGATAATGACACTCGGTGGGAATTGTTCAAAAACAGTGAAGGTAATAAAAATGGCAAATGTGAAAAAGGAAGGATTAATGGAGAAGACATTGATTTTAAATTGCATAATTGGATTCTTTAAAATTTACCATTGAATAACAGTGACATCCATATAATTTCGTACTTCCAAATATTTCCATTAACAGAAGAAAAATTCCGCCCAGACTTTTTAAGAAACTGCATTCGTTTTTGACGGAGGCATTCTCAAAGATATTTGATCACCTTGTATAGCAAGATGTTTCAAAGTTTTAGATATACCTCAAATTATATTTTCTGATATACAAAATTGAAGATATTATAGTATATACATAGCATTTTTATCAATCAGTTTTTACTACATTTCATGGAATTTCAGAGATTAAATCGTCTGGATCCCTGGCTTTTTTAGAAACATCATTTAGCTTTTTAAATGTATGAATATGATTTTTTGTCTGATAGACCCTTCCCTCACAGGGACTCCAGAAATATATTGCAGTTACCTCACGTCGCCATGTTAAATTTACTGGACTGTTTTCAGAAAGGGAATAAAAATAACGGTTCCCTATCACCTACTCCATGTGTATGTACAAGAGCGAGTAGCATTTGCGTTAACAATCGGCTTGCACGTTGTTCAACTTCCTTTAGAGAAATTAACCCTCGCACAGTTGCTAAGTTTCTTTACTTATTTTGTATCACATTATGAGGTAACGGCCAAAAAGAGTAAAAGAACTACAGTTTAATTTGGCTACGGATGCTTGCGACGTCGCCATGGCCTTTGGAGTCTCGGTGAGGGAGAGTTTTTAATGAATGCCTAGAAATATTGTTACTAATGAGATAATGAATTTTTTTGGTATACTCGCAACACAGTTTTTATTGTGAACTGTTTTTAGTGAGAAATATTTGTGTGATAACTTATTTAAAATGATAAGTTATTTGATGTAATTGATAGTTATCATAGTTATAGGTTATTTTTATCGATTTGTGTATTTAGTATTCTCAAATTAATTATTATTGATATAATCCACTCTTCTTGATATGTCCAAACTTTATTTCACAGTTTTCATATATTTATCTGGGGTTATATAATGCAAGCCTTATCCATTTTTAGGTTTAGGTGTTTTTGACTCTAAAATGCCATCAATAGATGCATTGTATTTGACTTTTTATGGAATAATTTTTGAAACTTACAAATTCTTGGTACTTAATTTCAATTCATTACACTGCTGATTTGTTGTACATTTTATTGTGATCTAGTAATAAAGTTTGACATATCAGATTGTGGGGTTTAGTATTAAGTTGATATTTTGATCTGCTTTCTGTATCATCCATATTTTTATTCAGGTTCATAATGAATCATTTTGTGACTTAGGTTTAAGAGATTTGAAAAATCAATTTGTGTATTTGTTCATCAATTCATTGATCATCAATTAATAAAGACTGTCAGAGCAACTGCTAGATATTTTCTTTTTCCCCGACATTTTGATAGATCATTGTTTTCACTTCTCTCCCAATATTGCATGACATGTACTCATATAAAAAACTGTGACTTATCGCCTAGTCATATTAGCAAATTTCCCCGAAATAATTGTAAAGTCTGGTATTATTGGTGCAAGTTGTTCAAGGGGATATTTAAAGCATGGACGCATAAAATGGGCACACCAATTTTTGTGGGAAAACTCTTTATTTGACAAAGAATGAGAAAACGTGTTTTTTGGGATTCAATCGAAAGTGTTGACAGGAACGAAAAACATTTCATACGAGATTTTGAGGTATTTAAGAGACCTACAAAATGAGACCACACGTAAAAAGATCTGACTAATAGCAAAAATGTTATGGCTGAAAAACGAGGCACAAATACATGTTTGAATTTGTTTGGAATAAAAAACGTAACCCAACCTTTTTTTGCTTAGAATTAACATTTATCTTCAGGAATGGTTTGCGATTCATATCGGCAAGGTAAACTAGTGTATTTAGCTATAAAATGTCCTTTGAACTAACACTGTATATTGGTCAATAAACTAGTAGTGATGGCCGGAAAACGTGTTTTGGGATAAACAATTCTCTAAAACTACTTGACCAATCTACTCCAATTTTGTTGTGGTTATTAGAAGTACGAATCAAGTGCCAAAACCTGTTGTTTGGCTCGGTTTTCAGCCATAACTTTTTTGCTATTAGTCGGATCTTTTTACGTGTGGTCTCATTTTGTAGCTCTCATAAATACCTAAAAATCTTATAAGAGTTTTTCGTTCCTTCCAACACTTTCAATTGAAGCCCAAAAAACACGTTTTCTAATTCTTTGTTTTCAAATAAAAAGTTTTCCCACAAAAATCAGTGTGCCCATTTTATGAGTTAATGTTTTGAATACCCCCTTGAACAACTTGCAGGAATAAAACCAGACTTTACAATTATTTTGCAAACCAGGGTTATTTTTGTCTAATAAGATTGGACTATTATTTCCATTGGTATGTCTGCTAATTATTTCTTAAATTAGATATGAGTATTAACAAACTTGTACAAAATTGCTACCATGCCATGAACAAAAAAGCCTTGTATCATAAGTTTTGCGAGTCCGGTTATGATTGAAAATCAAAAAATGTTATGTTTCAACCTACATTTTTTCTGCAGACATTATATTAGGTTGCATTTTTTCAAGCAAAATAAAACAATCAATTTTATCAATCAGCTTCAATATCAACTTTATTTTCAATGTTTATATGTAACTGGGACAAAACTAAATCTGGTAAAGGTATATCTTCAGGCCACTCATACTTATGACATGTTTCCATTTGTAACAATTCACTGTTTTCCTCCCAGAACTCTTCTTTTATTAAGTCTATATGGAGTGGAAGTATCACTATTTTATGCTTATCACTATTAGGGCGTTTTAGTCTTTTCCTCAGTAATATTGTGCCTTTTTTGTACACCTCAAGCTCATTGTTATAGTTTATGCCAAACTCACTGAACAATATTTCATTTTTATCACTTGATAGCGTGCCACACAACCTCTTCTCAGCTTCGGCAGGCGTTAATCCTCCTGTTAAAACTAGGTTCCAAAATGTTGTGTTGTACAAATTGTTGATATGGCAGTCTGCTTGTCTCCAACTAAGGTAGTCTTTCAAATTCTGATCTGTGGGATATAGCACTATCCTACCATCAAAAGAAGGAGGGTACTTCAGTTTTTGGTCTTTGAAATAGCTATGCCAGTGATATACATAAGATGAGGTAAACAGACTGCTGATATAGGTCATTATTTTTGATTTTCTTCTATTATGAAGTGTGCAACTCTTGCGTAGCACAAATGAATACTCATCACTCTGTCCATATGCCATTACAATGTCTTTATAATCCTGCATGACACATGTTGCTGCTTTATTCATCAAAGATATTGCCCTAAGGTCATTTGGCTTTGCAAAATTGTGTTTTGCTGAGAACTTATGGAATGCTTTGCCGTCTATCCTCACAACTATCCAACAATTTGGTAAAAGAGTCTCTTCCGATTCAAATTCACGCACGTATTCAAACTTGCTTTTTGCCATTTTGGGTATGATTACGGTTTGGAATGGATGTAGGAAACGTCTAGCGAGGTATTTCATTCCTATCCATATAATTAAATTATTGGACTAACTCAAACAACTTTTACAAAAACAACAAAAATATGTAACGAAACCTAACCTAACCTAATAAAAACTTCATAACATTTGTCATCTTGACAACAGGCATAGCTACTGCAAAAAGAAAGGTGAACAGTAAACTATAAATTCCGCCACTTTGACTGTGTATACATCTTCGGCCCGAGTAAAGAGAACATTGCCACGCAAGACAATTATTGAAATATACTCTACTAGACTATCCGTAGCTAAATTTTACTCGAAATCGTTGCACAAATCTTAAAAATATGCAAATGAAGATTGGACGACTGCCGCATTGACGTTCTAAATGAGCCGTCGTTACCCCGGGATAGACATACATTTTGAAAGTTGATCTTGTCAATCTTGTCACCTCGATTGCGGCGTTGCCAGCTTATCGAACGATTTTGATTTTGCTATCACCAATTCCTTGGACCTTCTGTTGGAGGCCTTGCTAATAGCTTTGAGATTTTTCAGAAATGATTGTAAGTACATAAGAATACTTACAAGAACGTTAGATTAGTGCACGTTTCTGTAAATTTCTTTCTATAATAATGTATTACAGGATGGCCAAGATAAGGATCAGACTAGGTCTCTGTAATCACACAATCTTACATCAGGCATTTGTTTGCAAGGAATACTCAAATATAATGAAAAAGTAGAAAAAACGCCTTTCTTTATAACTAAAAAACAAATGTAATGTGATACATCGTTGAATTCGTAGAAAAAGCTTCTATTAGATACAGTGTAGCACTTTTTTAAAAACACCCTCATGTAGTGCCTAAATAAGTGCTATTAGTTTTTTACATTTCTTAAATAAAGTCAGACAAAAATAAAAACCATTTGGCCAAATTTTGGTTTTTCATGCGAGTGCTGTACCTCGCTGTGGCGATACGGTACGGCCAGATAGTGCAGCCACGCCCCTTTCCAGCTCCCACTCCGCGCATCTGCTCCCGAAGCGACTCGATGACCGGTAGCAGACGTGCGGAGTGGGAGCTGAAAAGGGACGTGGCTGTACTACCCGGCCGCACCGTATCGCCGCAGCGAGGTACAGCACTCACCACTGCTGGATGCTATGCTGTTCAATTTTCGTAAGCCGGCGCGCATGATGTCACGCCGACAGTGATTGTCATTTGGGTTGATATGGGTAACGTGCATATTTTCACCTACAGGCCAAACGGCTGGACGGATTATCACAAACAAAGTGTCGTTGGATTCGTCTTAGCAGTGCGAGTGATGTCAGCTACATTCAAATTTTATACCAAACAAAATTGTGGATTTTGATAAAATATTTCAACCTTGTAATTTCTATTTCACAGACAAATGCTTAAACGGATTCTAGCTCCACAATAGAGCGTATCGTCACTTTACTGCAAAAACAAGATAACTCCTTTTTTGTACATTAAATATATTTTAGTATGTTCTGTGGAACAGGATTAACATGTTCATGATGTTGATACTGTACTACATTTATTCTTACTACACAGAACATCCTAATTACATGTAAGTGTGTAACCCAAAAGCGTATGTTTCAAATTGACCTTATAGGCACTTTCACAAAAGTGCTTCGAGCAAACCCTAGTGCTTATTACATTGATTTTGTATTTTCTTTTTGTAAGATGTATCCATTTTCTGCTGAGGTTTTTATCCTGAGTAAAACTGTGGAACTTTGTCTTTCCGTTTAGACTGGTTGTTGGAATTATATCCCACAACATCACACCACATTTTTAACAATTTATCAACCACACAGGCAATATAAACTATATATAACTAATACAACAGGTCACAAACCACCAACAAATCGCACTATATAGTATTAACCACGATACATGCGAACTGCAGTAACGTTACGACAATCCTGCTGCTAGTAACTACGTTAGGTTAATAACTGTGGCATGCTGGCGATTTTCGATTGTACAAATGAATCCAGAATTGTGGAACGACTTGATTTTTCTTCAGCTGATACAATTTATTAATCCTAGCAGTGACGGTTGAGCTTTTCTAGGGTTTTCCTCGCCAAAGTGCCAATGCAGTCACTAAAAAACCATCTTCCCCTACTAAACAGTAGAGAAAATGAAAATTGTACTTCTTCTATTAATGATCATGTAATTTTAGATCAAATACTTAATATATATAAATAAATATATTTATATAATAAAAAATTGTAGTATTTTATCCTATAAAACTGGGCATTTATAAAAGTGTTCTACCGCATAAATGCCAGGCGACGCAAAATGTAAATAACATCTTTTTTTAGTTTGTTGGCAAACATTGCTACGCATCAAATTTTATATATCTCCATTGGTATCCCTTAATGTTTTATTCAAAACTTCTTTTTTATATAACATTCTAGCAAAATAGCAGATGTAGCAAAGTTGTCTGATGAGCTGGCAATGCAGCAATCTAGGTGACAAGAATGTCCAGGTCAACTGTCAAACGTATGTCTATCCCGGGGTAACGGCGGAGTCATATAGTACGTTAAACGCCTGTTTCCCAATCTTCATTTGCATTTTTTTAACGGTGTGCAACGATTTCGAAAAAAATTTCGCTACAGATAGTCTTCTAGAGTCTAGTAGAATAAATTGCAACACTTGTCTTTCGTGGTCATGTTATCTTTACTCGGGCCGCATCTTCTCATCATTATAGTTGGGCCGTTTCCCGTGTTTAAACATGTAAAGAGGGAGGCATTTTCGAAAAGTCCAAATAGATTGATATAAAGAAAAAGGGACTGCATGTTCTGGAATCTGAAAAAGCGGAGAGAAATACTTGTTTTCTCTTATGTGTATGATCTGGAAGTTGTGCTTCTCCTTCCTAGAGCTTCTATACTTGTGCCACCTGACAGTTGCCTGACGGAAGATGTCAAATGTGACGTCATCAAATCAAAATATTGATGTCAATAAAAATTGTTATAAAAACCTCAAATAATAATATACATTTTTATATTAAAAGCAAAATGTGAATAACTCGTAAATTAGCAACTGTGCATTTTCACATTCATTCGGTCTAAACTACATCCTTTTCTGTTTTGTGACTATGGATATATTTGGTGTTTTATTCTTGGTCTGTATTTCAGTATTATTTGGAGTTATTTTAACTTTAGCTGTGCAATACTACATTTTGTATGTTTATCTAAAAAAGGAGCCAGTTGCTAAACCTAGTCAGAGACCAAACTCCATTGAATATAAGCTACCAGAGGTATAAATTTCATGTAAATTTATTTACACCCTTTCCATACAGTACCTCCTTTTAGGATATAAAAAAGCAGCTGGATACCAGCACACTGACAGAAAAAGGAAAAAATAGTAGTCTACCTATAAGCCTAGTATTACAGTTTTTATTTCATGAGTTACGGCACTCAGAATATATCAAAAGATGGCTTTACAAGAAGCTTAGCTTAGAGTTTGATGAACTCCTTACAAAAACCACCATAGGAAAATTTTTTGATTCAATAAATGTAAGTACTTGCATAAATTTGTTTTTATTTAGAAGTAAGATAATTCTCTATAAACATTAACATCTAGATGGTATTACTATCTATAGAACAACCTCATAGCATTTATCCAAGGTTGCTAGCTATTAAAAAAAGTCTAGTAATGTTATTTATGATTATGTTTCTCACTGAGATAAGCTATTAATGTACTTATGTAATATGGTTTATTATTCAGAAAATATATACAAGATGACTTTGTGCTGCCTTATTTTGATAGACCTTATATTCTGAATAGAGTTGCTCAGATTTTGTTAATTGTTCACCAGGGCCAAGCCTACATCATGCTGAAAACTTGACCATCTGTGGTCAGATGAATGACATCTATATTGATGAATCTTACACCAGAGAAATTCTAATTTCCATAATTTTATTTCAAACGTCACTTTATTGACATATTTTCTCTCATGAAGTCCAATATTTGATTAATGTATACATATAAAAATATGGAATCCTATGAAAATAAGCAGATAAGCCTTGAAACTTGGAACTCTAGAAAGTTTTTCAAAGATTTTTTTTTTCTTGCAGATTAAAGACATGCACTTAGGAACTGAATTCCCAGATATAAAAGATATATCTGTGGATAATGTAAAGCTAGATAAAAAAGAAGGTTATATAGAAACCGTAAGCTTATGTTTAGACCTAGAATATACAGGAAATTTTATGCTCAGTATAGATGCAAAGATGAAGTTTGGAAAAGCTGCTTATCTTTCTATAAAAGGTATTTGATCTATTTTCTGTATGGAATTATTTCTATTAATGATAATATTGTCAAAATCTGTGCTGCTATGAATTTCTTGAACAATGCTTGATTTGCCCTGATGCTTGCCACACAGTAAAAATCTACATCTATACTTCACTCATATGTCAAAGCTAAAACAATTTTCAGCCTAAACTCAATGAAACATATTTAAGTTAAAGTTTGATTACATCTATCATGGAGGTGTGAACTTATTCATAATAATAATAATCCTAATTCCAGTGAAGCGTATCAGTGGTCAAGCAAGGCTACAGTTCTCCAGGCAACCCTATACCCATTGGTCTTTCAGCTTTTACACAGATCCTTTATTAGAATTAGCTGTGGAGTCTCACTTCCAAGGAAGACAGCTGCAGTCAAATATCACCAATTTGATTGTTAATCAGATAAAAAAGGCCATCAAAAGAAAGCATACATTGCCAAATTATAAAATAAGGTAATTATATCTGACTCTTAAATTCAAGCTAAGCTTTTAGTTAATATACCAGCAAAGAAGCTATTATTTGCAATAAACATAAGATATTGTTTATGGACTTCACCTATCATCTCAGCAAATAGTCAAGTCAAAATTTTTAATAAACATTGTCATACTTAAAAGTTCCCGAATTTTGTGGTAAAATACTATCGAATTGTAGATATAAGCCATTCTTTGTGAAAACTGACCCTAGTCAGTTGGACATAGAGGATAATGAGATAGTTCCTCAAGGACAACTTGAAGTGACCTGTGTCGAGATAACAAGATTGTCTTTGCCATCAAATGTGCAATGTGTATATTGTACACTGACTGTAGGTGAGTATTTTAATTCTTTTAGTCTAAAGCAGTCTAAATGTCATTCATATTTAAATTGTTCAGATCAGTAGATAACCCATCGTCTCAATGTTATTCATATTAAGTGGTATGGTAACTGTCTACTTTTTATTAATTACATGTTCTAATAATCAGTGGAAAAATGTTTCAAAAATTTGTGCCAAGTAAATTGTTATATCCACGTGAAATGTTTAAAAATTGTAATACCTTAGTTACAAATGCCAAATTTTATGAGTCATACCATATCTCCATATCTGTGCTTTCCAGATACTATTCCATGGATATCTCTCTACCAGAAAGATGACGGTGTGTACATGACCTTAGAAGTAACAATGACAAAATTGAGACAAGCTCAATTGGGTGTGATATTTAGGCAGGAGCAAGGGATGGTGCTAATCGACAGCGTTTCCCCGCATAGCCCTGCGTTCAAGTCTGGATTGAGGCCTAATGATATTGTACTAGCTGTAGAAAATCGAACCGTGCAGACTGTGCCTCAAGTAGCTAAGTTTATTAAGGCTATTTCTGGGGCTAACATTACTTTGAGGGTGAGTGTCGGATAAACGCATACATAAAAGTTGTATTAACGTCAGGTTACATATAAGTAATGACCACTAAAACTATCATGGTTTTAGTGGTGCACCAGCATTGGTTTGCCATTTGACATGCTTTTCTGTAACACTAATTATACGCATTATTAGTGAATGTATGACATTTCAGAACATCCTCACATCCACTACAAACTTGATAGTTGCTTATGGCTTTGATATTAATGATAAATGCCCTTGTTGTTACCTTCGACCTTGGCCAGGAAGAATCTTCGACCTAGCTGCGCGTGTCAAGCTGGGAACGGCACGGGTACCATGTAAAAAACCTATAAAACGTCAAAAAAAAAACCTATAAGATGTCATCTTGCAAACTAGGTAGTTTTTAGGACGCCAACCGTCATTCCACATTTGCTCACTAGGCTCGTTGTGAACGTCCATCTAAGGAGGAATCGCTCAACTAAACAATACGCATTATTGGTTGCATATGTTTTGTGAGGCCAAATGGTCCTTGTCTGTAGTTTTTATCTCTGAGAAGAAAGTTGGTTGAATAGCAAGATCACATCTGGATGATTATGTGTATTAAGGATAAGAAAAAGTGGATCCGCCACTAATTTCTACCTTTGAATCTCAATTAAGTGTATTTGAGACAAGAACCCAATGTAATTATCATCCACACATACAACTTACAGCTTAGACATCCAGTAATCCCATCTCAGAAGCAGATTGTACATCACATCAGAGTCAAAGATTTATAACAAACCTCATGATGTTTAGGCAACACGTACAACTAAGTGCTAAGTTATCATCTTAATCAAATCCCAGCAAATAACCAAAATTTCTGTGTTATGTGCCGCGGTTATAATATGGTTCAAGATGACACACGGGTTGATGACGTCAGTTACACGAATCGCTTGAACGCGTTGGTTTTAACTGCGGTTTTGTTGCAAGTTGTTTATTTTATCACTTAATAATCGGTGCTTTTTTGTCTACAACGGTGTATGGAAAGTTTAAATAAGAAACCTTTCATAATATTCATGAGAAAAAAGTTTTTTTTTTAATTTTGTTAATGATGGAACCATGGTTTTGTAGATATGATAACTTTCAATTCTCTAAAGTTTTCCGCATGTCAAAGAAAACATTTATTGATTTAGCGGAAATGATGAAAAAACGATGGAAAAAGATATTAGCAAAACCGTATACAGGTGGACATCATCCAGTGAGTTAAGTGGCCATATTTTAATATTCTTGTGGCTACACAGGATACTTTGTTAAACATAGGAACTAGATTGAAAGTGTTACCAACAACAGTAATGAGTATAACTAATAAGGTACTCCACTTTATGATAACACTGAAGTCAAGTTTCCCAGAAATGGAGCTGAAGTACAATAACAGTATCCAATACCCGGCAAAATTCTAACTTGTCACATTTCAAATAATAACCAGAAGACATATAACAGCTGATTCATGACGTCACGGATCTTATAACCAAACATAATTGAACGGATCGGTAAATACCAACCCAAAATGGTAAATAACATCTTCATTTGGTTATCCGCTTGAATTTGATTCTTGTAGAAAATCCTACATAATGTCAAAAAAAAGAACCATCATAATGTCAAAAGAAAATCGGCATAATGTCACTTTTGAAGATACGTGATACCCGTGCCGGACGGGAGGGAGAGCAGCGGAAGAACGTGATCTGATTATCGCTGTGGCCAATGGTTCTATCCAGATGTGACAGTGCTGCACTGATGATGGATAGGCGTGTTCGGAGAACAGAGAACGGATTTAGTAGAGGATTCGGTACTTGTGCTGCCACCATGCGGATTTGGTTTACAAGATGTGTTAATAATTGGCTTTAATACATCCCATCGATAGAGCCTGGAGCGCGCTGCATAGGCATAAGTTGACGGTCTCCCAAAATTTGTCGTCGCGTCATTTTTCAGGTGCTCTTTAATCCCAGTCGCAAATTAAGTTTACGAGGGGCGAACGAGAGTTTTTAGAAAATCACTTCATTTTTCACAAATTAGTCCTTCAACCACTGCAATAGGGGGGAGTTATATGATATATGACAGGTATATGGATTTTCAGGTTGAAAGACTGGTTGACAACTATCTGTTGAAATTTAAACAAGTAGATGAGTGCGTTGAGGCAAAACCTTCATGCCCTACACCAGAAGTAACTGAAGAGCCAGATTTGACTCAAACAGAACAAGATAGGTAAGCAATGGGAACTAAAATTTGGTCAAATTGCATCATGTAAGTTCGCTGACATGCTATGTGCTATAAGAACTTAACCCTTAGCACCTTAGCTGTTTTAAAATATTCAAAAGTGTGTGTGTGTGTGTTTTATTCAGACAAACTAGAACAAGTCTTAACTAAAATACTCATTTTTTAGCTTTGTTGTGGTAGAAGCTCCAAAAGACAGGAAGCGCGTACAGAAAATAATGCCGTCCAATGAGAATATGGCAAAAATTGCTCAGACGATCGGTAGTTTCGGACTTCGAAAAAGGAAACCCTCATTGTCAGATACTGGAAGTGCTAGGTAAAATAATGCAATACACGTTTTCGAACACTACTGCTCCAAAAAAGATTGATGTTCTCCGAATAATGTTTGAAAAACACGATTTGACGTTATACTAATTCGTAGGAATACACCATCTTCTAGCAATCCAGGAACACCACAACATACTTCCATGAAACATAATACTATGCAGATACCTTCAATGGCGAAAAAAGGATCGATATGTGAACTACCGGAGATTGTAAGGACGGATTTAGATAGTGGAAATCACGAACTATTTTCATTCACTGAGGTAGAGTTGAAAAATACACTGTATAGGCAGTTGTATGTCCTAGTGTCTCTCACTGAACTCTGTTTTAAATGCTCCTCAAGTATCCAAAGATATCATGATCTCTATCTGTATAATGAGAAAGTTTTATTGGCAGTCGTCGTTTTTACAGGTGCATAAGAGCAAAGAGCTACCAGTATCATCTGTCTTGGAATTTAATGACGACTTCACGTTTCCATTGAAAGAAACCTCAAAGTATTTAAACATCAATGTATGGGCATCGTTTTCTGACGATAAAGATCTTCTTTTAGGTAAGTTACTTATTTTCGTAAATCTGGCAACAATAAAAGTGAGAATGATAAAAAGTATTTCCTCAGATTGAAGCAATAAGCGTGTTCGTACACGGGTAGCCTCATTTCTTTGGAGATGTGATGTGAAACTGTTTGACAACAGTTTGATCACTTATTATAATGAATTTAGACACTTTCTTTAGGTACTACTACTGTTCACAGTTCAATTTATTACTTTATACTATAATTTATAATACTTGCAACTAATTTATGACATATTTATAATCATGTCGACTAGACTCTGTTGACGCGTCGGTCTCTGTAGGTTGACTGTCTCGACCGTGACTGACTGTTTTCGCCATCTGGCCGGATATTTATGTGGTGGATCGACGGTTCCCGATGTACTCGCAGCATTTTTTAGATAAAACTCGATTTCTCCTCGAAGCCGGAAGATGGCGGCAGGTGCTACCAGACGTCTCTATGATTCTTGAACCTCGGTCAAGACTTGCATGTGACTTCAACGAGCACGAAAAACATTTTTTGTAATACCTCTTCCCATGCCATAATCTGTGTTCCATAATTATCACTTTCTAAGGAGTAACATCATATTCGCCAACATAGGATATCAAGTTGTCTGACACCTAACATAATGTAATATTTCATATTCTAAATGGTCAGTCAAACTATATATGGAAACACTTTATATTTACAAGGTTTTTTTTCAGGGTATACCAACATACCGATGAGCCACATACTGAGTGAATGTTGTAATAGCTTCCTAGGTCACTATATGAGATGTTATTCATTTCTACCGCCAAATAATGTAGTTCCCACCAACCAAACTCATCCATTGCTCTCACATTCAGGCTTCGAACATGTATTTTGTTATGGAGATATTCTGTTGTCATTTGTATGGACGCATGAGGAAGACATCGAGTTAAAGAGGAAGATATGTGTTAGTTTGGATAGCAATGTAAGGTAAGATTATATACAAAGTATTCAAAAAGTTTATGTTGCATATATTAATATTTATCCACACTAATTATAATCTCCAAATAAATTGATATACAACAAGAGGAGAATGTCGCTGTGTATAGGTCTCATTACAACACATGTCTTGGCAAATATAGAGAAACTTTAATTACGAAAGCGGTAAAAATTGTATGAGTGTGAGCAACAGATGAAAAGCCAAAATAATTAAAAATACTATTTTATGGTGTATAAGGTTAAAGTGTTTCAAAGTGTGTGGCCATATACAGTTAAATACCTTTTGAATCTGTTGGCAAACATTTTTAATTTTTTTAGCAAAATTGAGGATAATGGAAGTGGACAACATGATTTTATCAGGACCCAGTTTCATAGAACAACACACTGTGATTTTTGTACAAAGAAGGTGAGTAGGATTTATAAATAAAAATTATGTAGACTTGATTGAAATTAATTATCGAGAGCATATGTCAAGGAGCTGTTTGAAGGACTAATATACGAACCGATCATTGAATTCATTGAAGAAAACAAGATTTTGACGAAATACCAAACTGGATTTGCAAAAAATATTCTACAGAAACGGCAATCCAAATGGCGGTGGAAGACTGGAGAAAAAGTATACATAGTCTGAAAAAGGGTATTTGAGACTTTAGATGGGAAAAATTGTTAATGAAATTACATCACTATGGTTTTAATAGGGAAACATTTAGGTGACAATACAAGTACGCTCATGATTAATGAACAAATGAAAAAATTGAAGTACTCGAATCATTCAAATATTCGTGTATATATGTGCATAGTAAGCGACTGTTTCAAGAGCATTAATATTATTTCAAAAATGTCAAAAAAGATAAATTACTTCTATAGAGTTTCCCATAATCTCCGTATGTACTCCAAAAAAAGTGTATAATTCTTATCCATTTTTTATATTGCAGCAAATGAAAACATATTTTCAAAATTACAAATTGTACAAAATAAAGTTATGAGAATCATTTTGAATAAAAACAAATTTACTAAGATTAAGCCTATGTTAGAAGAATTACAGTGGTTGAATGTAAAAAATTTCATACATTATTTAGTTTCCATTTTATATTATATTTAATCACGCTGTCCCCCTTTTTTGGACACAGAACTAAACATTTTTGAATATATTTCGAACTTCAAGAATGTCTAAACTCACCGAACTATAAAGCTGTTAGGCGGGGTATTGTAGGTACGAACATATTACAAAAGTAAATGCGTGCTAGCGGATCGTCTAAACAGTGTCATCTTCGGCTTCATGATGCTCGTTTCATCCAATATTGGATCATAACGAATAACGCTGTCCTCCTTTTTGGGACACAAAAATAAAGATTTTTGAATATATTTCGTACTTTAAGAATGTCTAAAAGTACCGAACTATAATGCTGTTAGGCGGGGTATTGTAGGTATGAACTTATTACAAAAGTAAATGCGTGCTAGCGGATCGTCTAAACAGTGTCATCTTCGGCTTCATGATGCTCGTTTCATCCAATATTGGATCATAACGAATAACGCTGTCCTCCTTTTTGGGACACAAAAATAAAGATTTTTGAATATATTTCGTACTTTAAGAATGTCTAAAAGTACCGAACTATAATGCTGTTAGGCGGGGTATTGTAGGTATGAACTTATTACAAAAGTGAGTGCTAGCTGATCGTCTAAAACGTGTCATTTTCGGCTTCATGGCGATCGTTTCATCCAATATTGGATCATACCGAATAACGCTACCCTCCTTTTTTGGGCACAAAAATAAACATTTCTTAATAAATTACGAGCTTTAAGAATGACTAAAATTACCGAACTATAACGCCTTTAGGTGGGATAGCAAATTAAAAAACCATTTAATACCGACACATTTAGAAAACTTCACTAAATCAAATAGTCATTATCATAAATACTAAACTAGAGGTAGTATACATTTTTTAATCTGCAAAATTGTAATATGTTGTAGCAAGTCTGTATTTCAAAAGGGAGTATTTGAATTTGACAAATTGAATAACGATATTAAACAGTGTCCGAATTTAAAAATCTTTAAGGTGAAATTAAAAACTCATTTTATCAATACTAAAAATGCATATTAATGTAATTTTGATAGACAAGAATGTAAAATTACAGAAAATTGATTCCAAAAATATGCAAACTAATAATTATACAAAATTGACATTCTGGCATTAATGCTAAAAGAATCTTCAACCAACAAAATGTCAGCAGAAGAGAGATCTGACCTCACATTTATCCTCAGCGTGAAATTGACTTGTCACTGAAGACAATTTTTAGTATTTTCAAAACGACGTATGCTTGTCAGCTCTCAGGTCTTGTACCGTGGTTGGATATATGAAGGACTTTTATTATTGATCTTCAGATATGGCTGAAGGACGCCGTGCAATGTCGACTATGCGGCATGTGCTGTCACAAGAAGTGCATCGTCAAGTGCCAAACGGCACCGGCTGCAACCCGAACTACAAGGGCGAAGTGTCGGTGTCTGACGTCATCCTCCACCCGAAATCACGATGACGGAAGTGTGCGACGAGCCACAGTCGCCTGCGGATGGCGCGAAAAACATGGGAGGTAATCTCAAGAGGGTGAATAGTGTCAATAACTTAGCTATACCTGGTGAGTTTGCGAACTTAACATTTTTAGTTTATAGTATTAAAAGAACCTGGGTGTAGGGTATGTTTTAAAATGTGAATGTCCATGTAGATGGTACAAATTATTCAAAGTACCATTAGTAAAAGACCGCAGAATTCAATAAAAAAAATTCAGAAAACTAAAAACTAAACTGACTTCTATAAAGGTTTTGTTGGATTCTAATTGTCAACTTATCCTGAGAATCTTGAAGCGTTTGTATTCCAAATTAATTTTTTCTACTCTTCCCTATCTATTACATTAGCTGCAGTAATTCAAACTGGTCATCTGATCGAACACATGACACCAATGAGATGTTCATATTCTGTAAAATTGAAGCTACCAATTATGAATGAAGGTTTATAATTTTTAGCTCGATTAACCAATCAACAAACTCTTCAAATAAGATTTTTAGGTATTTATGAGATCTACAGAGTAAAAAGATCCCACTAATAACAAAAATATTATGGCCGAAAACGAGGCAAAATGCAGGTTTTGGCACTTGCTAATGCGACGATAATTTCACGCAGCTACTTTAAATTCTTCAAATCCGAAGGCTTCTTCCTTCTAAATAACCACAACAAAATTCGAGTCGATTGGTTAAGTAGTTTTTGAGAATTACTAAATGTTTATCCTAAATGCCATTCTATCTCGGTTTTCGGCCACAACTTTTTTACTATTAGTTTGATGTTTCTACGTGTAGTCTCATTCTATAGGTCTCAAAATACCTAAAAATCATATTTCGAGTTTTTTCGTTCCTGCCAACACTTTCGATTGAATCCCAAAAACACATTTTCTCATTCTTTGTTGTAGAATAAAAAGTTTTCCCGCAAAAATTGGTGTACCCATTCTATGTGTCCATGTTTTAAATACCCCCTTGAACAACTTGCATCAATAAATCCAGACTTTACAGTTATTTCGCAAAACAGGGATATTTTCGACTATTCATCAGATCGAAAAATACAGCTACTGTTGACGCAGTGAAATTATGTTCTTTCATGAAAGATGCTAAATTCAAATATATTTTAAGACGAATATCACACAACCCATATTTACTCTGGTTTATACCATCAATATTTATTGATCTGTTAGTGTCAGTGGATCTCTACATAACCGTATAACATCACCGATTATGGACATCTTAGCTACACTATCAATAAATAACTCATTCCATGATAAAGACTGACGGATCATAGTAAATACTGATTGTGACATTAGCCAAAGAGTTATTGTTGAATGCTTCTAAGTATTAAATAGAAATTTTTATTCTGAACTTAGCATGCAGTATTCTTTCAATTTTATTCTCACTTTATTACCCTTTATCTTTATAATATAGTACACATGACATTTGTCTTAGATTAGTTGATCTCCAGTCTTGAAGGATTCTTCTACTTATAAAAAAAGTCTACTTGTTAGACACTAATTTCACATTGAATATCAATGTTGCATGACCTTAAGTTGCTGTCTTTCATGGTTCCTGTATGCATTCTAGGGTCCCAATTTGTAGCTAGCACCTCCCGAAGCCTACCGCCCTCCCCTCAAAGGACGCCCAGTAGAAAGCAGAGCCTGATCCTGATAAACCCATTCGGCATGTGCCCTGAAGTCCTAGATCTGGTGCAAAGGTACCCCCTTGAGGCTACGGAGAACGTCAACAGACTTTTGGAACAGGTGTGTGATATGAAGAACTTGAAGGCTACATTGTGGCAAACTTAGCTCCCTATCTATTCAAACAGTTTATAAAAATTACGTGAAAAAACCCAATATATAATATCAAAAAAAAAACATACAATGTCAATAGTTCAGGGACTAACTTGGTCCTAACGTAATCCTTTATGAACTGATGGCAACGTTACGTGGGGAGTGCAGTGTCAACCTTTTTGACGCCATTTTTTCACATGCAAGAAAAAATAAACTAAATAAAACATTCCTGTCATTTACAATGTATAGTTTTTTAGTAAGCACAATTCTTTTCTCGTGTTTATCCAATAATGAGAACCCAAACTCGCATTTAGGTGATGCAGTGTCCTCCGGATGAAGGTCTGATGGATGCTGCTAAAGAATCCGGGAGAACAATGTACGTGAATATGCCGCATGAAGAGAAAGTCGAAAAAATCAACCTAATGGTAAGTGCTTTATAGGAAAATTCTTCTGCAGGACAAATTATATGTGCATGGAACCTAATACACCCGTTGACAGTTGTTTTTCCCTCTCGAAAATTAATTTTGACGCTAACACGTGTAATTAGATTTTGCTTTTATATCTTTGAATAGAGTTATAAAGAGTATGAAGATACTCGCCTGTATGTAATACATGCTGACAATGCTTCATCTAGATGGGTGAATTGAAGAAAGCTCTGGACACGGTAACGATGAAACACATGGAACTGTCAAAGAAGATAGCGACTGAAGAGTCTGAAATGGAAAAAGCAAAGCTGGCTTTTCTCATGGGGCAGGCAGACGCAGAAGTGCATGGTCTGTCGGTATTAATGTTGCATTACTGTTCCAGCTTGCAGCATACCAAGAGAAGATAGTTTAAAATTCTATGTGATATGTGGCGGGTAGATAGAGAATACAAAATGTTTTAACTAGCTCTACTGAAATCACCTGACATGTTAATCAGATACACAGCTTGTTTGGTGGGTCAAACTAGGAATCACTGATTTTAAATTGAATCAATTTAGAAGTGTCATGATAAACGTACTTTCTTCCTTGGAAGTCACACTACCCTAAGTGGAAATGATTTGTTGAATAAAATTTGATTCAGATATAAGGTGAGTCCCACCCGCCTCACCAATCTCCGTCTGTGTCTCAATTTTTGGCTGGCCCAATGGTCACTAGACATGATCGGCACTTATGGTGGTTTTATTAGAGTTTGCTATATAATAATAGTTTTGGCAATCACAAATACCGCATACGCAATCGTTGTTGTTGACACGTCATAAGTTGTCAAGGGGTTACAGGTCATCATTAACGTTTACGTATGTGGTATTTGTTTTTAACAAAACTCTCTATTTCCGTTATTGTTGACCTTATTTAGGTGCGATTATTTTTTCTTGTCTAGCGAACAGTTATCAAGTAAGATGTTAATTTTGTTGTATTAGCATTTTGATTAAGTTGTACATGAATAAGATCAAACCCAGCTCCAAAACCTTTAAATATTCATAACATTCTGATTCAAAATTGTGCATTATCTAATAATTGTTTCTGCTAGTTTTGCAATATCATGTATTCCAAGTTTCGACTATATTCAAATTTTTAAATTGAATTCCATTGCTTTAATTTTTATTTCTGAAAATGCTTGCTGACTAGAGCAACATAAAAATCGTGTACCGTTTTTTTTTTTATAAACAGAACCTTTGCAATACGACGCTCATAGAAATATCTTCAGATGCAACAGAAACACTCTATTGTAATAGAAACAGTTAATTGTAGTTTGTGGTAAAATAGTATTTACTTAAAACTAGACCAAAACAGTAAGTGGAATATAGTGATATACGATTCAAAATGTGCATTGTGGTTTATTCAGTTATGAAGTATCTATTTATATGGAAAGTCATCAAAATTTTACAAAGTTTGTTTTCTTTTTTATTGAGGATTTTTAATACAATTTGTCTTTGATTGTGCATTTATTTTATGAATTGAGAAAGTTAACAATATATCTGCCTACATAGTTGTTGGATCAGTGATGTAATTATCATTGTTAAACATAGCATTTAATTACGAGTATTATATTATTTTTGCGGCCGCAAAGACGTGTTACTTATTATTTTTAAGATTGCAGGTGCAAGTATTTTAATGTTTAGAGTTAATTTATTTTACGATTTATAAGCTGGTGTGATTACTATTTGGAGCATAAATGATTAGTGTAGACTGTAATTATCCATATAACAAGAAAGAATATGTGAACATTTACATTTAAAAAAATTAGAAATGACAATCATTCTTCGGCATGGTGCGGTGGGGTAACCGTTAAAACGCACTATAAAGTATTGAAAGTACATATATGAAAATGTTTATAAAAATAATTTACACGTAAAAAAACTAAAAACGTATTTTGAAATTAATCTAAATAAGGCTGTTAAAATTATCAATTGATGCTGCTGATGATCGATGTTGTGCTCTAAATAGTATTTAGACTCATTTTATGTTTTAGGAAGTGAATGTTATATGTAAGCGTAAAAAGTATTGTTGCACACATTGTAAAGGAAGCATGTATAGCAACTAATTGAACAACAGTATTAAGTGCGTAGTGAAAATCATAACTTAGCAGCTCATAAAATGTAGTTATGGGAAGTCTGCTATATCGAGTTGGCGATATTATGTTTGCTCTTCTCTATTGGCCTCTATACATATCAAAAGTGCCGACAATATTGCCAAAGAAGTCTCTTTCCTGCTGAAATTCTATTATTGGAATATGCTCTCATATATCCGTATTCTTTGATCTCTGTAATGTATGTGTCATAGTCAAAACTTTCTTTGACCAGTCAGATCGCATAGCGTCCAACAACAGTTTTGATTGAAGTTGGATATTTTCACGTTTTGAAGCTTTTACTGTTTTTCCTGGATCCGCACTTGATATGTAGACTCAGTCTGCAAGAACAAGCACCAGGAACAAAAATGAGTCAAGGACATGCAACTTGTAATATTGGAAATTTATCTCAGGTCCAACACTCCTCTGATTGGTCATACCTGGGTTTGACTATGCTCATTCAAATCTGTTTTACTTCACCTTTTGGAAATCTATATTGTACAATGCACATATTTCCTTGTTCTAGTCAATTAAAAGAAACCTGCTTGGAACTTACAACTTTATTTTACGAATGTGATAATTTTCTTAGCTGCCTTTTAAAAGGAACCATTTTGTTAGTAGAATTTTATTATATTGAAATATTTATTAACTTTTTGTTTCATTTACAATTCACTTATTTCCCATGCCTCAAAAATTATAAAATTTGACTATTTGAGATATGTTGTTTTTGGGTTTTATTATGTTTATACAGGAAAACCAAATTTGTCAGATGGCTTGAGTTCAATGTGTACCAGAGAGAAGCGCGAGAAGTATGTATCAACACATGTTAGAAAGAGATAGAAGCCGGCTGAAGAGCGAAGGTCATCACCACATTGCCTAGCAACGGTGACGCAGAAGTTCGTGCAACCTGCCGCGTTGCCAATACGTTATACCAGAAAATGTTCACACATGCTGCTACAATAGGGTAGATAACTGTTAAACCCAACAAGATCTGTTCGAGCATTTCATTTAATATTTCGTTTTCATTTTGATTATAATTATTTATTCCAATTTCCAAGCCATCGGGCAAATCATCAGTATCATGAAAAAAAGTCTGTGAAACTGGTCATTCAGTTCAGTATGTTTGTTATTACAATTTGGTGCAAATGCAATCAATTCAGCCCTATGTAGAATATTTAAATAACCCTCATTCTGAGGTAGTTGGGTAAACAGGGCTTTAAATCGACTATTCCCGCGTCGTAAACACGTTTGCTGCCTCTGCTCTTATAAGAGCCTACGTACAATACTGCAGGTCACTCAAGGTCACAAATTAGTAAAACGTGATTTAGATGGTAAAAAACAAGTATCCAGAAAAAGATCCAGTCTTGTAGCAAGAAGGGAATCCGTACCCAAGCGATGTACTGAATGTAGAACATGCCCTGATGTTTAGGATTCTGCTTGGAGTGCATGACAAATTCATGTTTGTATTCTAAAAAAAGTTGTTTCATTTCGAATTTTTGATTAGATTTCATCACGTTAGTTACCGGAAAAGTTTTTGTTATACTTTTATATGTTCCCTACTATTTTGTTACAAACATTATTTTTAATATTTTATTTTGTTAACGGTCGATAATAAATGTTTTTTTTTGCTTTTAGTTTATTTCTTATAAAAAATAAATAATTATTTTCAAACTTATGCTTTGCGTACTTAGGCTAGTATCGTCAGTCGTTCCTACAATTGTAGGACGTCTTTATGACCTCCTTGATCGTCATACTCCTTTCTCTCCTTCAAAAATTTCTAGATTGCACCTGTTCTGTGTCAGCACTATGTCCCGCGTCGTAACATGTTCGCTGCCGCTGGTTCTTATAAGAACCTACGTACAATACTGCAGGCACTCAAGGTCACAAATTAGTAAAACGTGATTTAGATGGTAAAAAACAAGTATCCAGAAAAAGGTGCCAGTCTTGTAGCAAGAAGGGAATCCCTACCCAAGCGATGTACGAATGTAGAACATGCCCTGATGTTCTAGGATTCTGCTTTTAGTGCAGTGACAAATTCATGTTTGTATTCTAAAAAAAAGTTGTTTCATTTCGTATTTTTGATTAGATTTCATCACGTAGTTACCGGAAAAGTTTTTGTTATACTTTTATATGTTCCCTACTATTTTTGTTACAAACATTATTTTAATATTTTATTTTTGTTAACGGTCGATACAAATGTTTTTTGCTTTAGTTTATTTTTACTTAAAAAACAAATAATTATTTCCGACTCTTCGAAGCGCCAGCTGGCACACAGAAAACGATTTGTAAGTCAGTGCCGTCGGCTCTTAGAAGAGCCACAAAAAATCTTCTAATTAAAAAAACATTTTATGAAAATACCTCAATAACTGATTTTACGATTTATACTAATAAAATAACAAATTAACCATTATATGTACAAACTAATTGGCTCCTGGGTAAAACCAACCGAAAAAGGAGACAGTCAACGTGTTAATTTCTACCAATCACAAACGCGCAATTTTTAATTAGAAATCTAGATGGAAAAAATGTATGACAGCACCTGTCAGCAGTTTTTTCGAGTTATCACGTGGCAAAAACTTGACAGCGGTTGTCACCCAAAATTTCAATTCCTTTGAAAACAAGTAATTATGATCTCCTAGGACACCAGAAAACTGTTACTCATGAAATAGTCATGTCACATACCATTCGGGCATCTAATTTTTTCCGTGAAATAAATCGAAAAAACATGCAAAGTGATATTTTTTTAACGAAAAACATTCGTGCAGGTGCAAATATACTTGCAATGTGTTATGATTTTTTTCGGAAAAATTAGATGGCACTCATGATATTTGCCCAGGCTCCCCATCCTCTTATCAAACCTCAACTTCAGTAAGTTAAGGTGCAAAATAGCATAAAACCATTTTTGTCTATCAAATATCTTGCATCTCAACAAATTGCTATGTCTTTATTAGTTTATTCTGTCTAATCGAAATTACTGTAGGCAGATGGAAAACTTGTTAATAGTTCTATTTCATAGAATCTCAAAAGGCATCTATTGCACACAATAAATTACTTAATTATGCCTCTTTCTTCATAAACAAGATCTGATCATCAATGTGGTTAATAATTACAATATTCAAGGTTAAAATTCTAATTTAGAATTAGGTTCATCAAAATACAATATAACCAATAAACATTAGCAGTTTATTCTTACTCCAACAACCATCAAAGTAAAATTTAACAAAAATAAAAAATATAACAAGTAAAAAATAAATAAAAAGTAGCTACTAACTAGAAGCTAAAACATTATTTTCTTCCTTGTCTCTGCCCAATTTTGTATAAATTGGCCTCCCCATAAACATTGGCACCTGTGGATCTGTGATGCTATTTGCTCGCCTTACTTTCCCTACAGGTTCAACTTGAGGTGAGACAGTTTTCATATACTTAAAGCCTCCTTCACCTGGCATCTTTGGTAATAAGTTTGGTAAAGCATACCAAAATCTATACGTTACAAACCATGTTACTATTGCTGCTAGTCCTCCCAAAAACTTCTCGATCATGATATGGTAGTACAGCATTGTACAGAGTAGCATTATATCCCATAAGACTTGTAACAAGGCAATAACTACTAATAATCCTCTGATATATGGTGTGAACTTTTCATAATTTTCCTTAACATATTTTATTTGTGCATCAGAAAGATTCCGCAAAGGATTTGTGCTTGGTGTAGTTTCTCTTGTCACACGATAATGCTCTTCTAGCCTTAGATGCTCCTTGATACAGTCCCAGTTCACGATACAACGAGTTTCTTCAATTATAACTAAGCTCCCATAAATCAATATAAATGAGTGTCCAGAGAGATCAAATCCATTCCATACATGTCCTTCAAGTAAGCATGATGTTTTTGTGGCAAAAGTTGCATTTCCACATCTTCCGTAACTTGCTTCTATGTAGTTGAATAGTGATGTCCAAAAATACCAAAAGAATGTAGCTATTCCGAGCCTGAACAGGTGTTGTTTTGCTACTTTAACTTTGTCTCCACAGCAGTAAATTAGTGAGGTGAGCAAGATAAATGGGGTCAGCAGAATGATGTTCCAGCCCCAGGAAAATTTCACAAACAACCTGTTGAATATATTGTCAGATCTCGATAGGTAGATTTTGGGGAATGGTAGAACATCAGCAATCAATGAAATGATGAATAAGCTGCCCAGATAAATGGCAACCTTCAAATTGGTGTCAAAAAATAGCGATTTTTTACAGACGTGCAGTACGGTTAATGTGAGGATTTCTCTGATGGACGTGGGTCCACAAGTTGGCTTGGTTCCCTTCGTTTCACTGGCTGAGTTGAGCACGTTCGGTCGGAAATTTGTTGCGTGGATTCCTCGTCGTTTCGTGGCCATTTTGTGTTCGTTTTGTTATAGTTTCACTTTTTTCTGATGAATATGTGCAACATTCTATCCTAGCTACTAATTATGATTTGTTTTAAGAAGCCAGGAATATTTAAAGTCCATTAAAAATTAAAAATAAATTATGAAATGTAAACGTCATCGTGACGTGTGTCAACGTGCTTTTGCGCTGTTGCCAAGTGTCTATCACTTGGAGATGAACACTCTGTGATCGCAGTTTGTGACTTGCTCTTTTACAGCTGCTCGATCAGCCAAGGAAGTCATTCCGCGAATGTGATAGAAAGGCGTAATTGAGTAATGTATACGAGTTTAATCTACGAGTACCTTTCCAAAGTATATACTTTGGTGGCAAAACGGATGATACGACCGTATCTTATTTTATTTCGGATAACATTTTGACGCCGGAGTACAGTATTAAGTGTTAACCTAGGTATCTTCATATAGAATACGTCTTAGGTTCTCATCGTTCACAGGGGTCTAAACTAAACCCTATTTTACCAGCTTCCATCATGTTTTGACGTCTACTCAGGTGAACAGCTCATCAGCAAGTAAAATCTTTGTATTAGTATGTTGCCTTCACAGTACTGAATCTAATAAAACCTTCTTATAGCGTTTTTTTTTTAATGTAAATAGCTTTTTTTGAATAAAAGAGTTGTCAGCAAGTACAAAATAAGTAAAGAGGATACAAAATTCCAAATCAAAATACGGCTCGGTCTACCTGGCCTTGATGGATTCGTCAGAATTGTGTCATTTGTTAAAATGGGGAATTTGGAAATATTATTAAATAGTCTACTGTGATGTAGACTCGTGAAAAAGACAATACTGACGGGAGGCATCTATGAGAATCCAGTTGGAGCTCAAAATTTGCATATTTAGCATGGTTTTGCGCAGAATTTTAGGGCTTTTTAGGATCTGCAGTCCCTGAGAGAATTAGCTAAAAAGTTATTGCGGGCGCCCATAACGTCTTTTCGTTAATCAGTTTTTGCTTTGCGTACTTAGGCCAGTATCGTCATTCGTTCCTACTATTGTAGGACGTCTTTATGACCTCCTTGATCGTCATACTCTTTTCTCTCCTTCAAAAATTTCTAGATTGCACCTGTTCTGTGTCAGCATCAGCGCTCTCCTATTGTGAAGATATGGTTTCTTTTTAAATTGTAGGAAATTTCAGGCTGATAAAACATGATATAACTCAAAAGCATGCACAATCTGATGCAAATAGATATATCTGACATAACCTCAAAATAGAGCTCTAACACGGAAAAGCAGAAAACTATGACAATCAAGACCATAAAGGCGTCCTACAATTGTAGGAACGACTGACGATACGGGCCTTAATACATGAACCGCAAATCTGCTGATTTGGGAAAATATTTCGTAGCTTGGCAACCTGGTCTTCTTTTAACCGACCGAGGACGAATGACAGCTGCCACATGCCAGATTTATTTGCAAAAGAGAAAGGGGTCTATTTTCATTTTTGATAAGTAATTTTACCAAAGTTTTATCATTTATAGATGAGTCCATAAAACAAGCCTAATATTTTATAAAATACTTAATTTAATTACTTTGAGATCTAAAACTATTGTGATTATTTAACTACAGCGTGTTATCAAACTTTACTGCATGTTATATCTGAATATTTGAATATGATGGAACATTCTAAATATGATGAACTCTGTAGACTTTGTGCTACCAAATCGACGATGGTTCTGGCTATAAATATTTTCGAAAACGAAGGAGCAATTCGCCAAATTAGCAAAAAGATAGATACATGTCTTCCAGTGAAGGTAAGTCATCCTATGGTTCTCAACTGAAAATTTTACAGGCAACACTTCTAGGTGCATGAACAAGACTGCTTACCAAAAATGATATGCGAAAATTGCCTGTACAAGTTGGAATTATTCAGCGACTTTCGAGAAAGATCAGCAAGAACAGAAAGGTTGCTGGTAGAATTGTATAAAGAAATTGCAACAACACGGGCTCAGCAACCATGTTTAGTACCTGTTGATAACCATGAATTAGTCCTTGTTCAGTCACACCACCCATTACTTGCTGATCACAGTCTTCGTGATGTATCTGAGATAGACCTTAGTTCTCTAGAGCACCGAGGGGGCATCATTGTAGACCATGAGATCATTCTAACTCATCAGAATGTTCATATAAACTCTACTGCCTTAGACATTGATCTCAGCAATCATGACTTGAATCAGGATCATTCTAATCAGAGCCTACATGGTCAAGAAGTTGCTATAGTTGATTCAGTGAGTGAGGCACAATATGCTGAAAATTTAAGTCTGATGCAACATCAGTTGTTGACTGATCAGTTTAGGTTGCAACAAGAGTTGCAGTTAAGTATATCTGATGATCATGAGGCTAGTTTACCTGTTGAACATATGGTAAGTATGCAGATTTTATAATGTAGGTATGTTATATGTAACTGCTTGATTGCTGTCATGCCCAGCCATTTATGACCCACTGGTCAGTAAGATTATTTGAATTTGTTTGTTTTGATGGCACATAAAGACATTGTTTGATTTATTTACGATGATTGCTACAGTTACATTCTTTTTAAAAACTACAATTATGTAACACACCAATTTTCACTGGCCATGAAATGTTCCTTTAATTTTGTTTTTTAAACAGCTTTAAATTAGAAGTATCATTGTCTAGTTTACTAAATTCAAGCAACCCCTTCTAAAATATTGATTTGCTAGTTATATTGATATTGCAAATAGATATATATATTAATGCATATTTATTTAATAACAATAACATCCAACAAAGACCATATACAAAAATTCTAAATACACATAAATATATAACACAACAATATAATTCCTCTTCATCAAGGGCATCCTGATGACAGAAAGATGCACCTAGATGGTTTAAACCACCTGTATATGCTTTCCTCATGCGGACTTACAAATGAAAAGAAAATGCTATTTATTGGATTATAAAATAAAATAATATATATATAATGTATATACCCAAATACTTTGTTGATTCAACTTTTTCAATTACTTCACCATTTATCCTAACTGTGATAGTATTTTCATTTAAGTAGCCCACACAAACAAATATTTTTTGAGCTGGATAATGTAGATCCAGTTTTGGTCAATTAAGTAGTTTTGTAGAACGTTGAATACAGATCCTTTAAATCTGTAGTGATGCAATTTTGTAAGTAGTTTATCCCTGTCGGTGGTTTGAGGTCCAAAAACACTGCCACTGTGTGTTTCCTATTGTCCATACATGTCTTCCAGTCCTCTAAAGCCATTTCTACTGCCGTTTCAGTTGAGTGTTTCTTCTTAAATTCAGCTTGAAATTTGGTTAAATTTCCCTGTATGAATTCAATGATCTATTCATAAATAATTTCTTCAAATACTTTTCTAAACATCTGGCAGAACATTTACTGGCTGTATATTGGTTGTCCAGTTTGGAATTCTTCCAATATTATTAAACCATTCAAGTACAATTTTTGACAGAATTTCACTCTTAGTTTGATTTGACTTCAATTTGATATAATTTTTTTTTAGAGGTAGAAAGTTATAGGTCCAGTTTGTACCAGCAACATTACACTATTTTAATTTGTAATTGTAGCAAAAAATCAGTATTATGTCCATTTATATTTCCGTTTACAGTAATGGACAAAAGTATATAGACAAATATGAATATTTACCTAAATCCCTTTAGAAATTCATACTTCATTGCTCCATAAACAAATGCATTATTAGTAGAAAAACTAAATTCCTTGTTTTTACATTATCTGCAATGAACACAATACAAGTCTGAATATAAGCACTTTTTTATGAGGGACAAAAATATGTAGATAAATTCTTTTCAACATTAGTTTAGTACAATTTTGTGTCAGAAGAGGATTAGTTTGTGTTCATCAAGTATCGTGGAATAAGTTGAGTGATTTTAAGACCATGCCACATAGTCCAGAAATTTCTTTCAATGTGAAAACTAAGATCATTGAGTTATAGAAATATGGTCAACGTCAAATCGACATTGCCAAAAATTTGAAGCTGAAGCGTAAAGCAGTTTGGGCAATATTGAACAAATATAAACAAAAAGGTATCTTGGAAGCCTCTAAGAGAAGTGGTCGGCCTAGATCAGTTATATTAATAAAAGTAATTTCGTCCAAAGATCCGTTTAAAACCCCAAGACAAATAAAAGCTGAAATCGAGACAAAAGGAATTGTCAGTGTTTCTACGAAAACTATAAGTAGAAGATTAAATGATTGCAGTTATTTGCACGTCGCCGGGTAAGAAGCCGCTAATCTAGAGGACCGTAAGGACCGATTACAATTTGCACGGTTGCATCTTGATTGGAGCATCTGTGACTGATAGAGAGACGAATCCAAGTTCGATATGTTTGGATCAGATGGTGTTCATTACGTTAGACGTCCTAGTGGACAAAGATTGAACCCCAAGTACACTTTGCCCACTGTCAAACATGGAGGCGGGTCTGTTATGGTTTGGGGGTGCTTTTCGGGATTTGGGATGGGACCTTTACATAGAATAGATGGCATTATGGATAAGTTTGTATACACAGACATACTAAAGCATGTCATATTACTCTATATGGAAGACAATATGCCCTTAAGATCAATCTTCCATCAAGATAATGACCCGAAGCGCACTTCAAATCTCGTAAAGAAGTTCTTTCTGTATGAAATATACCAGTTTTCAAATGGCCTTCACAGCCTCCCGATATAAATCCCATTGAAAATCGATGGAAATACTTAGATAAGCAAATACGAGAAAAAAATTATTCAAACAAGGATGAAGTTTTTGCCGCTTTAGAGCAAAAGTGGAGACATATTGATGAATCTTATATCAAGAAACTTCTACAATCTATACCGAGACGATGCCAGGCGGTGATTGATAATGGTTATGCTACAAAATATTAACACAAACATGGTTGGTCTTCTATAATTCAATGAACTTTGCTTCTTTTTTCTATAATTGTTTTGCTTTGTCTATATATTTTTGTCCTTCATAGTTCCAGTTTTTTTCAATTAATTTTTTATTGAAGGGAATCTAATGAATCTATTTATAAGTGAGTATTATGCTATAGCGAATTATGTATACAGGCTGGTGTATTAATAAAACAAGTTAAAAAAGAAATACAGCACAATATTAATTTGTCTATATACTTTTGTCCATTTCTATATGTTGCTGATTCCTTTAAACTATTTTTTAGGGTTATCACTGCTTCTTAGTTACAAATTTATACTGCATCCTATAAAAACTTAATAATTTGAAGAAGTGAATAAGTTTTGATCTTACGTTGCTATTTAACTTGTTAAAATATTCCAGCGCTTTCATACATCTAGTTCATCTACCTATTGAAAACTGTTTTCTATAGAATTGATTTCTACATAAAAATTAAAATCAATTCACATACTTGAATATTTTGAAGAGGAATTCGTTAAAATCAATTTATAAAAACTGTTTTAGGCAAAACCTAATCCACTTCAAGATCCTGACAGATATAGCTTAGAGAAAATAGATAGTCAAGATGTATGTAATATCAGTTATGAACATACAAAGCTATCGATTGATGATATGCAATCAAATTCTGGACTGAACGATATGACACCCAAACAGCTTGAGTATCATCCAAAGGATGGGTGGGTAACATTATTTGAAAAATTTTATTGACATTACTTACATAGTAAAACATTGTCAATTTCTAACTTTACAGTTTCAAACATGAGGATAGTAATAGTGGCCATTCTTTCAAAATAGAACAGAACCAAATCTCTGATGCTGATAAAATAATCTACAACATGAAAGTTGATAATGATAACTCAGTATCTAATATTCAAAAACAATGGTAAGCTGTAGCTGTAGCTTATATGCTATTAAATTTTAGTTTTGGTATTTTGCATTAGCAGCACTAAAGATGTCTGAGGCTGTCCTATCAAATTATACATAATCAGACACAGTTGCCATCCTGATATAGAAGAAAATACTAGTACTACCAAACATAACTTTCAATAGCATCTAATATATTTATTCAGTAGCTGATTGTTAGACATCTTCTGGGTTTAAAAACCAAACCAAGATGTACCATGAATAATGCTTCCTGTAACAATTTTGTTTTTGTTGTCAACAGAAGTTTAGGAATTTAGACATAGGCACTTCTATTATCTTAGTTTTCTGACTGATGCAAGTATTGAGATCTGATCTACAACTCTTCAATTTTCAAATACATTTGAGCTGTACTGAAGTCTCAACTATCTTTTCAGCTTTTCATAAACTTTATAGTTTAACTTTATTATTAATATAAACAGTTATTGTGAAATCATTTTCATAATTATTATTTTACCAGGTACTACTGTAACCTATGTTGCAAATCCTATGAACAAAGGTGTGCATTTGAAGACCACTATGAAAAGCATTTTCACAAATGTGAATTATGTATGGCATTATTTACTAGTCTAGATGTGCTGAATACACACAGAAAAGAAGCACATGGTTCATGTAACACTGAGGTAGAGAAAATTATTATTTTAGACTGTGGTACTATTACAGGAACTTTTGTGTTTAAAAAAATCTTAAGAAGTATAAGTTTTGGATGTGACTTGCGTTATAGAAATACATGATAATGACAAATTTGTAAGTTTTTCATTTTTTATGCTATTTCAATCGTTTTAATAAAAGTTTGCATGTTATATTTTATTTTAGCAAAAGGAAGTTCCCAAAAAGCAATCTTATGGATTTGAGTCAGACAGTGGCATAAAAAGTGATCATAGTGACATTGAGCATGACTCAGAACATGGAAATGAAGGCGAGGGTGATATCAATTCAAACAACGACAATAAAAATGCGGAAGAAGATAAGAAAACTAAATGCAGTCCAAAGGTGAAATCCTGACTGAATTTATTAAAATAGATTTACGATGCAATTTTACTTCCCGCGCCTACTGGCCAATCCTTGGAAAGTACGCTCGGATTTTGATGAAATTTCCACACAAATTTGCATATAGAAACATAGTAGGCCGCGCGAATCGAACGTCAGTACTGCATCGTAACCTCACTCTTTAGTAAACTTAAATTCAAAGTTTCACAACAATACGTGCAGTGTTCTCATTACAGTGAATTTTTAAGTGTCACCAAGTCATTAGAAAAATGGAACTCAACCGAGAACATTTTCGCGCCATAATTTATTACAACTTTCAGAGACAATTATCGCAACAAGAATGCCTTAGTGAGGTACTGTCTTTTATCGGCAATGAAGCGCCATATCAGTCGACAATTTCCCCTTGATATGGAGAATTCAAACGTGGACGGGTGAGTCTTAGCGACGATTCCAGGGTGGGTGCACCAAAAACGGCAGTCAACCAGGAAAATGTCGATGCTGTGCGCAAACTCATCATTGAAGATCGACATGTGACATATCGCGAGATTGAGGCGTCCTTGAAGATCTCAGAGACCTTAATTCAAAAAATTTTACATGAAGAATTAGGAGTAAGAAAATTAGTTCCTCGTTGGATACCCCACCTGTTGACTGAAGAGCAGAAAGCAGCCAGGGTTAATTGGTGTCAAAAAACGCTTGA